GGGTTGCCATTGCCTTTTCCAATATTGATATGAAGTAGAAGTTTGAAACTCAGATCACACAGCACAGCAAAGAATTGGAGTTGAAGGTAGGACAGATTAACGTCTTCCAGCTTCCCTTCCACCTCCTGTCTACTACATCTTCCTGCGTCAGCACAAAAAAAGTCCCTGTATATCAGGAGATTGGCTTCCCTAGTGGCTCAGTGGTAAAGAATCTGCCTGCTAAGCAGGAGATGCAGGTTTGATCCTGGGTCAGGAAAATTTCCTGGAGAAGGAAATGGAAACACACTCTAGTATTCCTGCCTGGGAAATCCTATGGACAGAGGAGCCTCAATTCAGTTCAGTCACACAGTCATGTCTGACTCTTTGCGACCCCATGGACTGCAGCACTCCAGGCCTCCCTGTCCATCAGCAACTCCCAGAGTTTACTCAAACTCATGCCCAATGAGACAGTGATGCCATCCAACCATCTTATCTTCCATCATCCCCTTCTCCTCCCACCTCAATCTTTCCCAGCATCAGGGTCTTTTCAAATAAGTCAGCTCTTCGCATCAGGTAGCCAAAGTATTGGAGTTTCAGCTTCAACATCAGTACTTCCAATGAATATTCAGGATTGATTTCCTTTAGGATGGACAAGTTGAATCTCTTTGAGTACAAGGGACTCTTAAGGGTCTTCACCAACACCACAATTCAAAAGCATCAATTCTTTGGTGCTCAGCTTTCTTTATAGTCCAACTCTCACATCCATACATGACTACTGGAAAAACCATAGCCTTGACTAGACAGATCTTTGTTGGCAAAGTAATAGTTCTGCTTTTTAATATGCTGCCTAGGTTGGTCATAACTTTTCTTCTAAGGAGTAAGTGTCTTTTAATTTCATGGCTGCAGTCACCATCTGCAGTGATTTTGGAGCACCCCAAAATAAAGTCTGCCACTGTTTCCACTGTTTTTCCATCTATTTGCCATGAAGTTATGGGACCAGATGCCATGATCTTAGTTTTTCTGGATGTTGAGTTTTAAGCCAACTTTTCCCCTCTCTCACTTTCATCAAGAGGCTTTTTAGTTCCTCTTCACTCTCTGCCATAAGGGTGGTGTCATCTGCATATCTGAGGTTATTGATATTTCTCCAAGCAATCTTGATTCCAGCTTGTGCTTCCTCCAGCCCAGCATTTCTTATGATGTACTCTGCATATAAGTTAAATAAACAGGGTGGCAATATACAGCTTTGACTGTATATATTTCCTCCTAGGAGGAAAAGGAGTACAGAGGAGCCCGGTAGGCAACAATCCATGGGACTGCAAAAGAGTTGGACAGGACTTAGTGATAAACAACAACCTATCAGGAGATACTACAGCAGATGAAAGTATTTCCAAATTAGTAAATCCTTGTAAATATCAACCAGGAGTCAATGAGCTCCTTCTTTGTACATAAAGGGGGTTAATTCACACCTGAAACTCATTATCCCCAGAGGTTGGTTTGGATTGCAAATATAACCATGCTTAAGCAAGGCTGATTTCAGGCTTGTTGGGGAAGCAGGCAGGTTGGGGATGAAGAGTTAACAGCTATAACCCAGATCAGATGAAGAAAGCGACATCTCGCTGTTCAGCCAAGTGCTTCCTCCTTCTTCCTTGGGATCTGCCTGCCTTCCAGCCTTCCTCCAAGGCTTCTCCTCGCCCCTCCTAATGGCTGTCTCACTCTGGGGCAGGAAGAGAAATCTGGTCGGCGGCTGACTTAGGAATGACTTCTAGGGGAGAGCAAGCCTCCAGGCAAATGATACAGACTGTGACCTGAAGGAAAATTTCACTTAGTTGAGAGCCTCTTAGCTCCTGAGTGTGCTGGTGGAGGTGCTGGGATCAGCTGAGACTAGTAATGGGTGTTTGAGAATTCCTGCAGGAGGTAACTTGCTGGGGCTCTAAGAGGGGAGGATCCCTAGCCACAGGGCATCTGAGACTAGGAAACACAGGACTTCAGGCTGGATATCAATCTGGGAATCAGGAGAAAAATCTCACAGTTCCAGCAGGGGGCGCTCTCCCAGGACCACTTCATAGCCAATCAAGATGCAGCTCTGCTCTAACCTGGAAAATTATACGAGGGACTTGGGCGGGGAGGGCCGATCTGGGGACCTGATGATTGGAAGTGGGCCAGGAAGCAAGGGCTTAATTCTAGAAATAAGGCAAAGCTGAAGTTCTGAAAAGCAGCAGGTGACAAGAGGACTGGATAACTCGCTCAGTACACTTTGGGCTACTTAGTTACCGGCTCACCGAGTCCCTGAGACTGAGATGGGGCAGAGCCTACAAATGATGCTCAGGTGGTTCCGGCGGCTGGATGGTCAGCAGGTCGGGAGCGGGAGCTTGCGGGGAACTTTGCCCAAGGTGCCCTCTCTGGTCCTGAGTCCATTTCCTGTTTTGCATCCACCTCCACGGCTGGAAGGTCTTGACCACCTCCTCACTCCTCTGTTGGACGCATGGTTTTGGACTCTTACTTCAGAAATATCTTCCCAGAGATTTCGAGAGAAACAGGCCACGGCCCTGACAGTTTAGATAAATCTTGAGTGTTTCCTGATGTGTGGGTCAAAAGCAGCCGGGCGTTTTCTGGAAGCGCTGTCCTTCCGTCTTTGTAACAGGCTTACCAGCATTGTCCTAGGATCATTTCACTCTTGTTCCCAATCTTCATATCCGATGAACGTTTGAGAACAATTGTCTCACCTTCTTTGTTTTTTGCCTTGGTCTCCCTCCCCAACCACCACCTGAGAACCCAACTCAGAAATCTCTCTCCTTTTTCTACACTTTTCAGATTCATTTTGTGTCTCTGGAGCCTCTGCGTTGTTTCCATGTTCACTTTGAAATCTTGGGTTTTCAACTTCTCTTACCTCCTATAAAATTTACCACATTTGTTCTTTCAGTCATTTATTCCCTAATAAGTTAGTGAGAGCTCGTTTCATAGCACCAGAGGGCATGATGTAATTACTTCTAACACAGACTCTGAGATCAAAATATACACAGCTAATTAAAGTTTCCCACTTAAATCCCAGGTAAGAATTTCCTCCAGCAAATGCTTTTTTTTTTTTTTCAAAAATGTACTTAAGCATGCCTGAAATTGTTTAAAATCCTGTACCTTATAAAATAAAGCTCTAATGAGCCTGTCTTTTTTTTTTTTTAACAAATCTTTGGTTTGAGTGTGGATAAAGTAGTTATCACAAAATCATCTGAGGAATAAAAGAAATCTTGATTTAACATGAAAACCTTTCCATCCTGTAAGTGAACTCGTTTGACCTAGATCTACCTTTTAAAGGGCAAGTGGCTGTAAGAAATTCTAAGGTTGTTCTCAGAATTCTAAGACAATTGGTAAATATTGATATAAAAAGTAGGGTTCATTAGCGACACCGATTTGATTTTCCTGAAAATCGGCCAGACAGAAAGTTCTCACTTTTATCCACCTTCATTGTTACTCTCCATAGCAACTGAAAACTTTTCTGGGCTGAAATAATCCTCTCTAGCTCCCAGCGCACAGTCAAGGAATTTTAAAAACAGAGGACTTTGTAACCACGAAATACCCTCCAAGATTTAAAAGGCCACAGAGCTCCAGATAAATAATCATTTATCTTTCTTCTGAAGGTAAGCACTGGGTTTAGAAATGTTTGTATCATCCTCTGTCATTTTTAAAATGCTAACATAAGAATCTTAAACTTGCTTTCTCTTTTTAAACCATAAAAGTAATCCTAGTATTTTTGTTACTACCCCACAGCCATTTTAGCTCATCTCTGGGCCAAGATCTGCCATGAGATGCTGTTAACATTTTGCATTCCTTAAGCAATCGGTTGAAGAGATTAATATTTTTTTTCCAGAAAGCTGATTGGCTCTAAAGTTGTCCTTTTCACTTCTGTAGTGAGCCCCAAATATGTGTATTTATCATGCTTCATGCGGACTTAAAACTCTCTTGTTTTTCTAAGATAGTCCGTACTTTTAATCAGCTGAAAACTAACCAGTATTTTCTGGACATTACTGTTTTTGTCCTTTCCTTTTTGAAAATCTTCTAACTCAATGTGATATCTGTAATGTGTTCAAATTTATTTTCTGTTTACTTTTATTGACTTACTTCACTAATGAGGCCCATAAATCAATGGGCGAAAATGAGGATGTTTCCTGTTGGGGGTGTGGAGAGATAAATAAGGAGTTTGGGATTAACACATATACATTACTGTACATACAATAGGTAAACAACAAGAATTCCTACTGTATAGTATAGGAAACATAGTCAGTATCTTATAATAACCTAAAATAGACAAGAATCTGAAAAAAAATATATATATATGTATAACTGAATCACTTTCCTGTACACTTGAAAGTAAGACAGCGTTGTAAATCAACTATACCTCAATTTAAAAATGGAGAGTGTTTCCTGCTCTTTTTTTTTAAATTGAAGTATAGTTGCTATACAACGTTGTGTTAGTTTCTGCTTTACAACAACGTGAATCAGCTGTAAGTATAGATATATTCTCTTCCCTCTTGAGCCTCCTCCCCGCACCCCACTTCCCCATCCCACCCATCTAGGTCATCACAGAGCACTGCACTGGGCTCTGTGAGCTATATAGCAGCTTCCTACTAGTTATCTTTTAATATATCTGGGTCTTCTGACTTGTAGTGCCTTTAGGATAGGCAGTGAAATGTATTCTTCCTATCTTTTGACTCTATGTCTAGTTCCCAGAGAGGCAATATAACTCACTTCTTGGCTGTTGTACAGTTTGAAAGTCTAAACCCACCATAGTTTCCTGCCAGTGGGGGTTATGAACAACCTACGGATCCCCTGTTGTTTAGAAACAGCTTGTCACTGCCAATCTGCTTAGCCACACAGTTAATGAATCCTTTCAAACCTCTTGCAGGCACAATAATTAAAGCCTTCATTTTTCCCCTTTCCACTGACATTCCTCCAGCTACAAGTTGACACGGTGAACACCAACCCATCCTCCTCCATCAAAGCAGACTCGGGGTAGAGGAAGAGTGGAAATGTGCTTCTGGACAAAGCCTTCTGTATCCTGGGTGCCCTTGTTCCTTCTACTCAGCCTTGATCCCTCGACTGAGACAGAAAAACCCTCAACTCAGGACAGCAGCAGTACTTGGAGTCCAGGGCAACTGACGGAAGTTCTACGGGTTCTCTCTGCTGATGACCCCCGTCCCCTGAACCACTCAAGAAGCCTCATCAGAACATTGCTGGAGAAAACTGGATGCCCACGGAGGACAGATGGAAGGCAAGGAGATTGCAATCTGGTTAGTGTGATAGAATGGGATCAGGGACTGAGCGTGTTCACAAGAGCCATGAGTTTCTCAGTCACTTATTTCAGGAAAGCAAAATCAGACGCAAACCTTCCAATATCTTAGTGACCAATGCATTATGGTATAATAACTCCCATATGCCAGATCATACAGTACTCTGCATATGGCATTTAAAGATATGGAGAACCTGTTTTTGTTAAAATGATAATAAGCCTTCTATAAGCCTTGCTACAACCCTTCTGCAGGCTTAGAAGTATGTATTTGCAAGTATGCACTATTAGTCCCCTCTTCTTTCTGACTTACTAGTCCTTTTTATTGTAGTGACCTTGAATGTGATTGGTTAGATAGATGCTGCTTGTTTTCTGAGGCATATAATACCATTCACTATTTGTTTAACATTGAATTTTCAAGTACTTTCTCCTGAATATCGGTAGGTGTGTTTTAATATTTTGTATCATGGGGAGTTAATGGATTAGATGATTGTCTTCTTAAAAATGGGGAATCTGAACTGGGGAAGGGAAGTGCTATCAGTGGGGCTGAAATGAGATCCAGGGTCCGAGAGGCCAATTTTCCAGCCATTTCCTAGTCTATTAAGTGACTCTCAAACCCTGGCTATCCATCAGCATCACCTGGCCAGTCTTCACAAAATGCCCAGGTTGCAACTTCCTTCTCCAGAGATCAAGATTTCATCTGCCCAGAATTTTTTTTAAAAAGATCTCTGCAAAGCACTTTAAAGTAAAATCAGAATTAAAGTAAAAATCAACATTTAATGTAAAATCAGAATGTCTCCACTGGGGGAAAGGGAGTTTGACAAGAGCATCCCCAGAAGTAAGAGCCCATGTTTTAAAAATGACCGCAGGGATTTCCCTGGTGGTCCAGTAGCTAAGAATCAGAGCTCCCAATGCAGGGGCCTGGGTTTGATCCCTGGTCAGGGAACTAGATCCCACATGCCTCAACTCTGCTGCAACTAAAGATCCTGCATGCCACGACTATAGACCCAGCACAGCCAAATAAATAAAACATTTTTTTTAAAAAAATGACTGCAAACAACAGCAACAAAAAACAGACCACAGCATTCTCAGCATCCCTTTCCTAACCGATTAGATTTTTTTCAGGATGCCCTCCTAAATAAGTAAGTAAATAAATGAAGACATGACTAAATAAGAGAAGCGAAATCATTTCCCCCCAGAATAAGTTTTGGCAGAATTTCTCAATCATGCTTAGTTCTGAGGGAAACATTTCCTGACCAAGTGTTTTGTTTTTTGTTTTTCATGACAGAAGGGTCTGGCTAACAGAATTTTTCTCTGCTCTGTGCAAACAATAAATAATTCAATAATTAGTAAAACTCCCAAGGGTTCCCAGAGAAAACATGTGTTGTGAGAGGCAGCTCATCTGTGATGACATTAATTTATATATATAGCAACAGAAGACTTCCCACCGGAAATAACTAGGAGTCATATCTTATTAATGTCCTCTGAGAATTTGCTTCAGAGAAATGTTCTCCTCTAACGACATGAAGTGCCTTATTAAGGCTGGTCGAATATTAGTTTAGCAGGGTAGGGGGAGGATGTAAACAGGCAAGATTGTTCTCCATTTTTGGAGGGGGGGTGGAATAGGTTGTTTTGTACATTTTTGTTTTGTTTTCTGTGGTATTACAGAAATAATATCAAATACAAGTGTTTGTCCAATTTAGCTTCTGTTTGAATTAATTCTTATTCCTAGGAAGTGAAACACTGTAACACCTTTTACTCTCCTGCTGCTGCTGTTTCTTTCTCTAAGAGACTAAGGTTGGGGGAAAAAAAGGCAAATCTCAGCTTCACCTTCTCAGAAGGATCTAGTTTACCCAAACACCCATGATTTAAGCAAGGAGTCCATGAAATCTGTGTTCATTCACACACACACACAAAACAAACTCTCTGATTTCACAAATACCCACATTCTGTGCAAACCACAAATCTTCACCTTGTTGTTGAATTTTTTTTATTTTTATTTTTGTCTTTTTAGGGACTTTATCTATTGAGAGGGTGCCTATCAGAAGTTCTCTGATTATAAAGAGGGCAAGGGGGTGAGATCATGTCCTTAAATGAATGAAAAAAGAGATCAGAGTGTATCTTGAATGTGTGGGGAGGAAATCAGTTCCCATTATTATTTCAGATCTAGGTAAAAACTGAATTTTTAAAAAAACTGATCTGAAGTTTTTGAGAGTGCTGTGTGTTTTAAAATAAATCCATTCAAGCTGCTGTCTTTGGAAAATAGACACTCTTGCCTGATTGTGGCTCTTTTTTTTTTTTCTTTTAATGAGAAGAGTGAGAAGAGGGTTTTAATACATTTAATGAGGGAGTAAGTAACTCCAAAAGAATGGATTGCACTTAAGTAAAGATGAGAGCCGTGATCTTGCTTGGGTTTCAGGCATGGTGAAGGGAAGAGAATCTGGTTTGAAGTCAACATTAGGAGCGTACCCTTGTTCTGGTACTTTCTAGCTATTAAGTCACCGAGGTGCTGATTCCCTCCCCTGGGGGCTGCTGGTGAGATCACATGTCCATCTGTGAATGTATTTAGGAACTCAAACTCTTCTCCCATATATATTCACGGAAATGTCCAGTACCAACCCCATTTCGGGCTATTGGAGCAGCGTTTGTAAAGGACCATCAGACTGGAAAAATCAGACTTTTCCTCAGTATACCCTTCCTGCCTGCCCCTCAGCCTCACCTCAGCTGTCCCAGAGGTTTGTGGTTTTTAACAAAGATCTCCAGGTGATTCTCAGACACAGTCAAAGAGAACTGATGCTTTAGGTCCTGTGTTTAATTTCCTCCCTGTCCCTGATTTCTCAGAACTACCATGGGGTCAAGTGTGAAAAGCATCAAACTTTATCTTGTTTATGGAGCAAGTTTATCTGAACTCTTTTCAGTTAAGACTTTTCTTTCTGTCACTCAGAAATGCCACTAAATCTAGTACAGACCCAAAAAAATCTAGTACCCACTATCAGCTGACATCATTCCAGATCTTTCTTTGAAAGGAAAAGGAAGAAATATAATTTCCCTCTTATGTTTTACAGTCAACTGTTAGCAACCCCCACCTGCCTTCTAAGCAGACCTTGTAGAAATCTAAGAACTTAAAGAAGGCAGTAGATTTACCCATAATTTCAAATCAAATTCTAAATGTCTCTTGGTTTAAAATTCCTAAAGTTTATCCTGAAGGTTCTGACAACTGCTTCATTAGCGTAAAAGAAATATTTCATACAGCTCTTTGTTGCTGAGGCTGGAGCCTGAAATACACAGGCAATACACAAAAAGGTGAATTAAGCAGCTGGGAGAAGGCAATTTGATTTGGCTCCAGGGTGTCATAGAAAATTTCTACCAAATATCTGTGTAGTCCATTTTACTGAGTAGAAAATGCTTCTCACATTTTGAGTAGTCTTTTTACCAAAGTTTATTTCCCTATAAAGTTGAAAAACTAATTCCTAGAATCTGTGGGGTTTATTCCCCCCCCCCCCTTAAACGTTATGCCTCCACCTGACAAGATTAAAAGGAAATCAGTGGATTATTTCTGAGTGAGCCCATTCTTTTTTAACAAAGAATCAGTTCACTGGAGTCAGAGCCTGGGACAGATCCAATGCCCACGGAGTGCCACTATTTGCAGACTTTTACTAAACATCTTCTCTCAAACCATAACCAAAGCACTTCTGAAAACTGTAACAACAAAAACAAATCTAGTGGTGATGAGCTGAAAATTCCAGTCCTCCCACCAACCTCTAGAGGCCTTCTGTCACATCCGTGCCCAGAAGAAAATCCACATTTTCTTCTGTTAGCTCTTCTAACTCTCCCTGCAGCGTTCTTTCCTCAAGCCACAGCCTTCTGTATTAAGGAAATTTGTCTAAGATTCAGATATTGGAGCACAAAGTTTTCAGCCCATGGCCCTTTGATTCACCATTAAGTTTCGTTTCAGCTGGACTTAAAAAACTAAAGCAGGGAGTAGGCAAACCTCTGGTCATTCAAGATGACCAAACTCTCTAATCAGACAAATGAAATGCTTCCACAACTTTTTAAAAGCTTTTCAAAGTGAGAAACTGATTTACCTTGCAAGCTGTAAGCATTTTACAAACTAATTCTGGCGTGACCATCTGCATAAATACAGATCTTACCCTCTTTTAAAAATATTTTATTTATTCATTTATTTTTGGCTGTGCTGGGTTTTTGTTGCTGCACACAGACTTTCTCTAGTTGCAGCAAGGTGGGGGATACTGTCTAGTGGTGCAAGGGCTTCTTACCCAGTGACTCCTCTTGTTTTGGAAGACAGGCTTTAGATGCATGGGCTTCAATAGTTGAGGCACATGGACTCAGCAGTTTCGCGCATGGGCTTAGCTACCTCATGGCGTGTGGGATCTTGGTTCCCTGACCAGGGATCAAACTGGTGTCGCCTGTGTTGCAAGCTGGATTCTTAACAACCTGACTACCAGGAAAGCCCAGCTCTTACCCTGTTCTCCACTACCTTGTGCCACACCCCTTCTCCCCACCTTTAGAAAGGTCCACAGCAAAAGAATGGAGAAGGAACCATGAGTGGACCAAGGTCTCAGGCAGCTTGGATGGGATGAAGAGGGGCCACAGACACTGCTGTGTGCAACCAGCACACAGCCACACCTGGGCCACATAAATGTGGTCTGGTGGCCTCACGGAGGTTCTGTATGTTCTTGACACTCTTCTTCCCATCTATTCAGTGCTATCAAGCAACCTGAATAGCACTTAAAAGTTGATCAGGGTGAACTCAATCAACCCTCTGGTTATACCATGTTCTCACTGATTGGTATGAGAACCTTACCAATCCCCTAGCCTCCTAATTGACCCAATTTTTCCCTACCAAACAGGAGGGAGAGAAAATTACTGGCTAAGGGGCTGCACGTAAATCCATAGGTGATCCACAGCTGATTTCCATGACACAAAACAAAGGAATGAGAATATAAAGCCTGTCAATGGCAGAGCAGGAATTAAGACTGGGCAGCCACTATCAACTGTGTGGCTTTAAGTACATTACTCACCCTCTGTTAAACTTGGCTTACACATATACTAAGGGTATTCTTCCTCATAGAAGGAAAAATTTAGTTCATACTTAATTCTGTGCATACTTAAATCTTTGCATACTGCATATAAATATACCTATTAACTCATTATACATTAAATAATTGGTCAATTAGTATTCTGAACGCTGTCTACTGTGCAGAAATATTTGGTGGATTATGATATAAACTGGGCACATTTTGTTTTTCCATTTAAAATGATGCAATGTTTCCCCTCTTTGAAAAATTGATTATCTGACACCCTTTCCAGAAACCAGGAGACTTATCCATTGAAGAATGACTCAGTATGGAAGGTGCTTAGCTCTGTCTTGGACACATGGCTTCCAGTAAATGGTAGCCGTATGAACAATAGTTTTACCGATAGTCTAGCTTCAGGAGGCTATTTGGTCCAAAGAAGGATTCATCTGACTCACCTCCCTGGGTCCTGGTGTCAGCCCCATACAACAGCTACCAACCCATGGACTTTTCTCCAGGGATGATGAGGGAACAGAAAAGAGCTGGTGTGGTTTTGGTGGTTGAGTTTAACCTTGACATTCAGAGTTGGTCTCACTGAGAAGCCTGCGCCTGTTTGCTGAGTTCTTGGCCCCTTGCAGTTGAGTTGGGGAGAGCTTGGAATCTTCCTGGCTTGTGAAGAATGTGATTAATGCTTTGCTTTACAGATGGATGACATGTTTCTTTCTGACTCAGATGGTATTTTCCAGATGTTACCCAGTGGGACGCACAGCAGACATGGAATTAGATCCCCTGAAACTTCCACCTCAGAGAACAGATTCAAAGATGTTAGAGTAGATTATCCCACAGTAGGACAGCTCCCCTGGGGATCGAGATAGGTATTACTTAATGCCTTCACTCTGAGACTGGTGCCATGTCATGGACTGCTTCTTGGATCCTGGGAGTGTTCCCAGGAGCTACTCGAGTGTATTTTAAGAAAGACAGTTCTTGTCTTGCTCGGAAAGCTTCTCTTCCACAACCTATGTGTCTTTCTTTTTCTCTCTGTCCCAACATATTTCTCCAAACACCTTTCTCTGTCAAGTAAACTTCTTGATTAGACAAGCCAGGCATCTGTCTGTGGCTTGTGAAACAAAGCATCATGGAAGCATTTTTAGTAATTCTCAAACCACCAACCTCTCTGTTAACAGCAGGGTGCAGTGATTGAGTCTCAGAAGGGTGCTGACATCAGTTCTCTTAGGTGGGATAAGGGAGAAGCAGATGGCCCATTAGGTGACACTAGTGGTAAGGAACCCACCTGCCAATACGGGAGATGTAAGAGACATGAGTTCGATCCCCGGGTCGGGAAGATTTCCCTGGAGGATGAAATGGCAACCCACTCCAGTATCCTTTTCTGAAAAATCTCTTGGACAGAGGAGCCTGGCAGGCTACAGCCCAAAGAGTCACAGAGTCAGACACGACTGAGCAACTGAGCACACATATTCCATTTTCACTCTTCTTAAGTGTCATCGTGGTGCTAGAGACTGAGGATAGACCTATGCACAAAACAGACAAAATCCAGCCTTATTGGGCCAGTTGTCATCAAGAAAAAATAGAAAATAAACAAGCAGACAAATTAATCTCAGAAGCCTAGTTCTATGAAAAAATGAAAAAATCGTGAATGCTAGAGCTGCCGTTAGCTGCCTCAGCCTGTTAGGCCCTTAACATGTGGCTCATCCCAACTGAGATGTACTGGTCAGTGTAAACCACACAGCAGATTTCAAAGATTTACTGTGACAATAAGAATGTCAAATAGCACATTGATACCTTTTAGAATTTTGATTGTGTGTTGAAATGATCATATCTTGCATATATGTGTATCTTTCAATAAAATGTATTATTAATATTAATTTCATTTGTGAATAGCATTGAAACATGTATATTATCAAGTGTGAAACAGACTGCCAGTCCAGGTTGGATGCATGAGACAAGTGCTCAGGGCTGGTACACTGGGAAGACCCAGAGGGATGGGATGGGGAGGGAGGTGGGAGGGAGGTTCAGGATGGGGAATACATGTAAATCCATGGCTGATTCATGTCAATGTATGGCAAAAACCACTATAATATTGTAAAGTAATTAGCCTCCAACTAATAAATGAAAAAATAAAATAAAATAAACTTATGTCCCCAAGGGGATGTATTCTCTTTTTGGGGGACAAATATCTTCAAATGAAAAAAGAAAAAAAAGTTCAACCCTGGCTGTCTTACTTGAATTGGGCTATTGAGGCTGCCCGCTTTTCCTTCCTATTCATAAAATAATAAGCATCAGAGACTCTGTGGTGGTTAATGTTCTGGGACTATTTGTCAAGCTTTCTGTTTATGTTTATTTAATAATTTTTGCACAGTGCTTTGAACCGGATGCCCTGTTACTAATAGCTGGAGGAGATTTCGAGGATCAGCTCAAAGAGGAAGTGATCCAGCGAGTTTCTCTTCTCCTCCTCTATTACATCATTCATCAGGAAGAGATTTGTTCTTCTAAGCTCAACATGAGTAATAAGGAATATACATTTTACCTGCATAGCCTTCTCAGCCTCAGGCAGGATGAAGACTCCTATTTCCTTTCACAGAATGAGACGGAAGATATTCTGGCTTTCACCAGGCAGTACTTTGACACTTCCAGAAACCAGGTAAGAAAGTCAGAATTGCTAACTAGCTCTGCTGCTAAGATACAGTCTCAGAGCATGATTTTCTGTCACTAATATATTTGTAAGATGCTCAAAAACTTCTTAGAGAGGTAAGTAGTTGTATTTTTTAGTGGTCGGATGTTGTAACATAATTTAAAATTCTGAGTCTGAAGTGGGGAATATAACAATTAATCGGTTGTCAGATGAGTTTTAGCCAGAAGCTCCGTGGGTGGGTAGGCAGACAGGCCAGGTAAGAAGGCAGCTCTATTCTGAGTCCCCCTGAGCACTAGAGTGAATGTGATTCATGGCTTTTGATCAGTCTGCAAGGACTGAACTCTAGCAGTGATTGCAGTGTATCTATTTGCCTTGCCTTCTGGCCAGAGAAAGAGAAGGTGGTAAGAGTTGGGAAGAGATGATTTTATTATTAGTTACTTCCCGGAGGATGCAGCTTGCAAAAAGCCTTATTCATGACAGTCAGCACAGACATTATCTCTTTTGTGGCTTTTGATTGGTGCTGCATATATTCAGTGGTCCCAAGTCTTTTCTTCTCTTAAAGCTCCCACTATTAGGAAACAAGCATCTTGTTGCCTCATTACTACTCCAGTAAAAGCTGACCTTTCAGTTACCTTTTTGCTTTCTGCTTTGTGGTGTAAAGTTTGAGCTGATAACATTCTCTGAACATCAACTCTATTAAGCCATATTTTCTTAAAGAATTAATTGAGCCATCAGCACACTTTGAAGAGGGTGGCAGAATGTGGTTTTTTTTCCTCTTGAATTATTAATTGACATGTGTCTTAGTCCATTTGGGCTGATAGAATATAAGTGTCACAAACTGGATGGCTTACAAACAACAGAAATTTATTCTCATGCTTCTGGAGACTGGAAAGTTGAAGATGAAAGTGCTGGGTAGATGTGGTATCTGATGAGAGGATACTTTTTGGTTCACAGAAAGTCATCTTTTCTTTGTGTCCTCAGGAGCAAGAGAGACCCGTGGGGTGTTATATAAGGGCACTAATTCCATTCATGAGGGTTCCACCCTCATGATCTAATCACTTCCCAAAAGCTTCACTTCCTAATATCATCACCATGGAGATTAGGATTTCAACACAAATATTCACTCTGTGGTAACATATGCTGATAAATTTTAATTATTGACCTCAATTCTGGTTTCTAGGAGTTCAAAGGTATCTCTGTAAACATGCTGCAACTTAATGCCAGAAAACATACCCTCCAATTTGCTGTAAATAGGCTTAACTTCTTTCATATTTGGCAGAACAAATGAGAAGACAGTTTGCTAAGGACTTTGTAGATATCATTTCAGTAACTCAAAATCACATGAATCTCAAAACTTTGACTATATTTTGTTTTCTATTTCCAATTGAGAAAATGTGGTTCTTTTATAGAATTCAATTTTCTACTTAAATAAGGAGGTGTCTCTATAGAGAATTTCCTCAGTGCAACATCTATATAATACAAGATCAGTTCAAATTAGCCACTGGAATTTTAGCCTCCTGTGTGTTACTGTCTTTTGATATATATTAAAGGCAGATGGAGTGTATATATTTAATGCAGACTTCTGGTTATGCAATGCATACTGCAAATACCTGAGTTTCTGAGTGTGTGTATATGAGATTAAACATTCCTATAACAGAATAAGGAGAAGGCAATGGCAACCCACTCCAGTACTCTTGCCTGGAAAATCCCATGGATGGAGGAGCCTGGTAGGCTGCAGTCCCTGGGGTCGCGAAGAGTCGGTCACAACTGAGTGATTTCACTTTCACTTTTCACTTTCATGCATTGGAGAAGGAAATGGCAACCCACTCCAGTGTTCTTACCTGGAGAATCCCAGAGACGGGGGAGCCTGGTGGGCTGCCATCTATGGGGTCGCACAGATTCAGACAAGACTGAAGTGTCTTAGCAGCAGCAGCAGCATAACAGAATAAACTACCTTGATATTATATGTAGATCTACTTTATTCTTATATTGAATCAAGAAGAATTGAGCTACTGATGAGTCATAACCCTGTGCTGCACCTTGGAACAACTATCTCATGGAAGAAATCTTTGTCTCCAGATTCTGGGTCCTGTGGCCCATGCACTTGGACTTGGGTCCCTCTAGGATGTAAGTCAGTCTGGACTTTTGCAGAAGGCCTCTTGGCACCTCCCTGCAGGCTGCTGCTCTCTGACTAGAGGATATAAGGTCACAGAAGGTTCTGGCAATCCAGGCCCAAAATGACTAGCAGGTCTTGGTTTGCATAGGACTCAATCTCCTTAAGTCACACCACTAACAGCAGCTCCAGCTGGGCCTTAACCAGCTCAGTAAGAGAGACAACCTTACTCCATCATACCCAGATTTAGCTGCCTTCCCTAATGGTGCAGAGTCTAAACATCCCTTTATTCCTTCCTTCTCTTCCTACTCAATTTCATCTTCCTGCGTGTCTGAATGCACCCACTTTTCTCCATTCTTTCTGCTCTTGCTGTTTCCATGGTAAATGTACCTGGTCTTCCACTAACCCTGCTTCTTATATGGAGCATGAATATTTGTGACCACATCCTAAGGACTTCAGGGATGGAAACAAGCTTTAGAATCTTTCTTTGTCCTCAGTGGCACTTTGAGATGATTACTCTTTTACAGCTTCCATGAAAAACCCACCCCACCTCTATGCTGTACACACTCTCTGCTATTTTAACTTCTTACTGTCATTCATGAGTCTTCAGGCTACATCTCCAAATTTGTTTAAAGTTTGATAACTGCCTCTCAGCCTTCCGCACTGCTCCCCGCCATAGCTATGAATAGGCTCTTGCCAAACTTACCAATTACAGACTTAAAAAAAATAACAACAACAACAGGCTATTGAATACAGTTCTCTAAACCAGCAGTCCCTGACTTTTTGGTACCAGGGACTGGTTTTGTGGAAGACAATTTTTCCGTGGATGGGGGTGGGAGATGTTTCCAGTTTTGTTCACTGCTCACCTCTTCACATGTGGCCTAGTTCCTAACAGACCATGAACTACTACTGGTGTGTGGCCTGGGCTTAGGGGATCCCTGCCCTAAACCATAATGGAAAAGAATATGAAAAAGAGTGTGTGTGTGTGTGTGTGTGTATATATACATATATAAATATATATATATAACTAAGTCACTTTGCTGTACAGCAAAAATTAAGCACAATGGTGTAAATCAACTATACACTTCAGTAAGTAAATCTTATCAGCACTTCCCCCCACTGTCCTGTATCACAAGGCAACATTGACATAGTAAACCTCCCCTTAATTCCTTATTTGATGAACACACTTCCTCCTTCTCACATGCCTGTAAATGGTATTTCTAAACAGTTTATGTCCAGCTCTGTGCTCTCACTTTTGAAGTCAAGTCCATCTCCATGAAGCCCTCTTTCTCTCATTGATTTCTTTCTTTTTTTTTCACCTGTACCACACAGCATGCAGCCAATGCAGGAGACATAAGAGATGTGGGTTTGATCCCTGGGTTGGGAAGATCCCCTGGAGAAGGAAATGGCAAACCACTCCAGTATTCTTGCCTGGAGAAGCCCGTGGACAGAGGAGCCTGGCAGGCTATAGTCTATGAAGTCTGTCTGTATGTGAGTGGATGGCTTAAAGAAAAATCTGGACTGGTATGCAGTCCAGATGAATTGAAGGTCATCAGTGTTTGGGAGTGCTTGACATTGTGAGTGTATCTCAAGTAACAAGAATATAGCGAGGATATGGAAAACCATAGTTGGGCCATGAGGGGCACCATGGCAAAGAGTTGGACATGACCAAGAGACTAACACAACGTAGGATCTTAGTTCCTTGACCAGAGATTGAACCTGTGTCCCCTGCATTCAAAAGTGAAGTCTTAACTACTGGTCCACTGGGGAAATCCCATCACTCATTGATTTCTGTCATCCCACATTTCATGTTTTTTTCTTCCCATTTCCATCACACCCATCTCCTGGTTTTCTTCTCACTTGTCCAGCTATTCCTTTGAAGGATGAACTTAACCTGCCATCCCTTAAGCTGGGCTTCCCTGGTAGCTCAGCTGGTAAAAAATCTGCCTGCAGTATGGGAGACCTGGGTTTGATCCCTGGGTTGGGAAGATCCCCTCAAGAAGGGAAAGGCTACCCACTCCAGTGTTCTGGTCTGGAGAATTCCATGGGCTGTATAGTTCATGGGGTCACAGAGAGTCGGACACGACTGAGTGACTTTCACTCACACAATGTAAAGCACTCCCAAACACTAATGACCTTCAATTCTGCTGCATACCAGTCCAGATTTCTCTTTTGAGTCATCAACTCATATAAACACCTACCTTTCAAAATTCTCCATTGGCTATTTCCTTGGCCTTTGAAATTCAATATTAAAATGGAAAGTCATTATTTCTATTCCTGAACCTCTTCTTTCTTTGATGTTGCTTATGTAGCTCTTGAAATAGTCTCTACTTTGGCTTGTGTGACACTGCACATTCCTGTTTTTCTTTCTCTCTGACCCCGTTTTCACCTATGCAGTCTCATCTCTCTTTCTCTGTGTATTTTTTTTTTTATTCCTATGCTATACGTTTTATCTCCATAGTTTATTTTATAACTTGAAGTTTGCACCTCTTATTTCCCTTCACCTATTTCACCCAATCTCCCACTCCATCTCCTAGGGCAGTCATCAGTTTGTTCTCTATTTCCATAAGTTTGTTTCTGTTTTGTTTGGTTCACTTGTTTTTTAGATTTCATATATAAATGAAGTCATAGAGTGTTTGTCTTTGGCCTCCTAATTTACTTCTCTTAACATAATGCCATTTTGTTGCAAATGGCAAAATTTCATTTTATTTTATGGCTGCATTATGTTCCTTTGTACATGTATACTTGCATACATGCTCAGTTGTGTCTAACTCTTTGTGATCCCATGGACTGTAGGCCGCTAGGCTCCTCTCTCCATGGGACTTTTCAAACAAGAATACTGGAGTGGGCTGCCATTTCTTCTTCCAACCTGGACTGGCGATCTGTTTCACATTTCTTCTTCCAGGGGATCTTCCTGACCCAAGGATTAAACCTGCATATCATGTGTCTACTGCTTTGCAGAGAGATTACCTGCTGAGCCATCGGGTATATACACATATACCACATCTTCTTTACCTATTCATCAATCAATGGATGGTTTCTTCCATGTCTTGCCTATAGTGCTGCAGCCACTATGGAAAACAGAATGAAACTTCCTCAAAAAATTAAAAATAGAACTACCAAATGATCTAGCAACTCGTACTGAGTAGTTACCCAAGAGAAAAAAACCTACCAATTCAAAAACAACCCTATGTTCACTGTGTGTAGATTTTAAGCATTAATGCTCTTTCAGGCATGATCTTAGCCCCCCGTCATTCCCTATGCTTCCTCCAGGGTAGCACATCTATACTTAAAGATGACTCACAAGAGTGTATCTCCATCCCAGACACTCCTGTGAACTCCCGACCCACATAAGCTATTCAGCATCTTTTATTAAAGCATATGGTAAAGGCACCTCATACTTAAAATATGACCGTAAGTCAACCTAGCGAGACCCAGTCTTCATGTGTTACTTCATAGGTCAGCAGATAAATGCCGAACTAGAAATTTTATTTTCTAAATTCCTTCTGCCTTTATATCTAATATAGCTCCAAGTTCTACTGCTATTTCATCCTGAAGAGATCCATAACCTGATGACTTTTCTCCAATTATCACCATCACTGTTTTTTACCTGGACTGCTGTAATAGTCTTCCAACTGTGCTTCTAGGAATCACGGATTCCCTTTCCAGTCTATTTGTTCTCCACCATGTAGCCAGAGTGAATTCGTCAAAACACACTAGTCCTGTAGCCCTATTCCCATCCCTTGCTTAAAATTATTCTTTGGCTTCCAGTTGATTTCAGGATATAGGGCAAACTCCATTACATGCCAATAAACCTTTGGCCTTCACCATGCTCCCCTCTTCTAAGGTTGCTCAGCAATAACGTATCCGCTTGTGAATGCAGGAGATGCAGGAGATAGGATTTCAGTCGCTGGGTCAGGAAGATCCCCTGGAGAGGGAAATGGCAACCCACTCCAGTATTCTTACCTGGAAAATTCTATGGACAGAGGAGCCTGGTGGGATACAGTCCATGGAGTCACAAAGAGTTGGACATAACTGAGTGAGTGAGTGCACACACACACACACACACAAACACACACACACATACACACACACACACATACATCCACTTGACAATGATTCAACTAGTAGATTCACTTATTATTTATAAAAATTGTGAGATGGGTGATGACCCACATTTTTGTTTTGGATCCTTCTTCTTCCCTTTGTATCTTACCATTGGGGAGAACCTCTCTTTGGGAATGAAAAGATAATCCATGTCATCACTAGCCTATGGCTGGAGTAAGTTTTGGTTGGTAAGGAGGAAGCTGAACCAAGTAGTTGAAGGCAGATGTGAAAGGGAGTGTGCTCTGTGATCATATAAGACAGCAGAGCCAGCTTGAAGTCAAGGTCAGGAATATAGAGTTGAATGTTATCAGCCGTCAGGCTGTACTTGAAGCTGGAGAAAAACAGTTCACCAGTTGAAAGAGATTTGGACTTAGACCTATGGTATTTTAATTGAGATCACACCTGTTCTCAGGACTAATGAAGCTCAGATTCTTGATGTCTCATCACAGAAAGAATTCAGTGAGAGACAAAGTGATAGTTGAGAAGTGGATTTATTTAGAGAGAAACATACTCCACAGTGTGGGCCATCTGAGGATGTAGGCACCAGGGTGTGGGGTTGTCAGTTTTTATAGGGCTGGGTAGTTTCATAGACTAATGAATGGAAGGAGTAGTCCAGCTATTTTGGGGAAGGGGTGGAAATTTCCAGGAATTGGGCCACTGCCCACTTTTTGAGCTTTGTGGTCTGCCTTAGAACTGTCATGGCACCTGTGGTGTATCAGTCAGCTTGCCGAGTGTGCAAGTGAGTATATACTGAGGCTCAAGTTCTAGAGAAAGTTGACTCCTCTGCCATCTTGGACATATTTGATTCTAATCAGTTTATGTCATGTCCCTCCTGTTTCACAAGTAGTCAGGGCCAGAGTCTCATTGGAGAAAACGTACCTTTAGATGAATAATGAGAAAGAGTAGATGGGTAAGAACCACTGAGATGGGAGTTGAAAAATTCTGTGTCATGGCAGATGAAAGAAACAACTATTTTCCAAATAGAGTTCTATCTGAGACTAGAAAATGATGCTAGGCTGTGCTGTGCTGTGTTAAGTTGCTCAGTTGTGTTCCAGTCTTTGCAACCCAATGGACTGTAGCCCATCAAGTTTCTCTGTCCATAGGATTCTCCAGGCAAGAATACTGGAGTGGGTTGTCATGCCCTCCTCCAGGGGATCTTCCCAACCCAGGGATCACACCCAGGTCTCCCACACTGCAGGTGGATTCACCAGATGTTCTTTTTTTTTTTTTAATTATTTTTGGCTGTACTGGGTCTTTGATACAGTGCTTGTATGGGTTTCTCATTGCAGTGACTTCTCATGTTGTGGGGCACAGACTCTAGGGCCAGAAGGCTCAGCAGCTGTGGTGCCCAAGTTTAGTTGCCCCATGGCAGGTGGAATCTTCCCAGACCAGGGATTGAACCTGTGTCTTTTGCATTGGCAGGCAGATTTTCAACAACTGAACCACCAGGGAAGTCCCTATAGATTTTCTAATCAGAATAGCTTCAGAAGTTAACATTTCCTTTTTACTTTGTGTCTGATTTCAGTGTATGGAAACCAAAGTGCTGCAGAAAAAATCTGGAATCCTAAGCAGTGATGGTGCTGATGAAAACACCCTTCCCCAGTTGGCAGCAACAATCATTGCTTTGTCCCTCCAAGGCATTTGTCTGGGACAAAGAAACTTGCCTCCCCCAGACTATTTTACAGAATACATTTTCAGTGCCTTGAATAGTACGAATACTCTTCACCTATCCGGTAAGGATGCTTTTCATGAATTTCATTTCCAAGTCACAACTACTAAATATAAAACATGGCAAAAACAAAGGCGGAAGCATTGTGGTGACCAAGTTTGTTCAGGTACGTTTTAAACACCCTTTTAATCTCAGCTTGTTGTGAGACAGCCCAGGGGGCCTTGTCAGGGCAAACATGCTATGACATCTGTGGGGTGATAAGGCAAAAAAAACAAAAACAAAAACTCAGCACCTTTGAACAGGGATGATGAAATTGTGTGTAGAGGGTTGAAGGGAGAGATTTTTATGATCTGTTGCTAGTACTAATTGGGACGTCCCAGGTGGCTCAGTGGTAAAGAATCCACCTGCCAATGCAGGAGATTAAGGTTCGATTCCCAGGTCAGGAAGACCCCCTGGAGGAGGAAATGCAACTCACTCCAATATTCTTACCTGGGAAATTCCATGGGCAGAGGAGCCTGGCGCCTACAGTCTGTGGGGTTGCTAACAGTTGGATATGACTCTGCAAATGAAGGCACCCTAGTACTACTATCTCTTTTGGTATAAAGTGCTGGGCAACAGGTGGCAAAGTATCTTGTAGAACAGAGGTCCCCAGCCTCAAGGATCTAATGCCTGATGATTTCAGGTGGACCTGATGTAATAAAATAGTAGAAATAAAATGCACAATAAAAATAATGTGTTTGAATCATTCCAAAATCACCTCCTCCCTCCCACCTCTCTCCGCCCACCCCCCCCCCCAACTCCCCGCCACCTGGTCCCTGGAAAAATTGTCTTCCACAAAACTGTTCCGTAGTGTAAAAAGGTTGGGGACTGCTTGTGTAGATGGATAAAAGGGTATTCCAAATGGTACAAGAGGCTTGGTAGCAGTTTGCCTGGAACCATAAAAGTAAGTCTTGTCATGTTAAACAGACGGCCTGGCTGCATTTGTGACTGCCAGCATTTTAGGGATCTGAGATAAAAGAGGACATCACGGAATGAAATCAGAATGTGTGTTTCACACATTTCTTTGTACTCGACAAGACATTAAGAGCGAAATGACTTAATTTTTTCATCTGCACTAGAACGCCCTGCTTCCTGCACACACCATGGGGACTTGGTGTGTCGCTTCATCACTGGTGCTTTTGCCAACATATTTCCTCTTGGGAAGTCACAACACAGAAGAGAAATACAAATTTTCCAAGACGCCAGCAGCACACTCATGATCTAGATAAATCTTCCAACTCTGAAAGGGATCAAGAGCTAGGAGTCATCCAAATCTGCGCAGAACTTTCCCTGACTTGTTTGTATAACCAATTGAATGACAGATGTGTTTTTCTGTAATTCATTTTATATGCTTTAAGCCAGCGGTCCCCAACCTTTCTGGCACCAGGCACTGTTTCGTGGAAGAGAGTTTTTCCACGAACCAGGGGAGGGGGGTGGTGTAAGGATAATTCAAGGGCATTACATCTGTTGTACACTTTATTTCTATTCTTATTACCTCGGCTCCACCTCAGGCATTAGGTCCTGACAGTTGAGGACTCTTGCTTTGACTTGTGAACACAGAGGGGGACAGAGAGGGTGGACAAATGGAGAAAGTAGCATGGAAACATGTATATTACCATATGTAAAATAGGTAGCCAGTGGGAATTTGCTCTATGACCCAGGGAGCTGAAACCAGTGCTCTGTGACAACCTGGAGAGGTGGAGTGGGGTGGGAGGTGGGAGAGAGGCTCAAGAGGGTGGGGACATATGTATCCACATGGTTGACTCATGATGATGTATGGCAGAAACCAATACAATGTTGTAAAGCAATTATCCTTCAATTAAAAACAGACTAATTAAAAAAGAAAGAAAGGAAGAAAATCTTTATTAAGATGAAAGCTGAAGTACCAGTCAATTGTGTTACCTAGCTGTCATCACTAGGACAGAGACCAGGGGAAAGCATGCTGTGCTGAGAATGATTTTGATATGGGAAACAGGAATTACGAAATTCAGATTTTGGGTGATTGAGTTTTAGCAGGACAGTTTCCATGTCAACCAAAGGAATGCAATTACTCCACTTTTCAAATAAAAATTTGTGCCACTTGAAGGCTCAATCGCTGGAGTACAGAATATGGTTAGAGGCAAGCTGTACTGTAAGATCAAGGTGAGCTGTCTGCATATGAAACCGTCATGGACCTGGGATAAAAAACCCACACAATGTTCGTGAGAGATGTTCAGTATCACTCGTTTGGGCACAAAGCAGTCGTGTTTGCATTTGAGAACTCAGAATTCCCTCCCATCTCAGTACATTTAGATGCTTATTCCAGAGGCCCTGAGGCATTTTTTCTAACAGCTGCCTCTGGGCTAGGGCCCTGTTGACACTGATTGCATTTTGGAGTAGGAGGAACAAAAGTATGCTATTTTTATGTGTTTTTTTTTTTTTTAATGTTTTTATTATAGAGATTGTCAAATATAAATAAAAGTAGAAACAATAAAACAATGAACTCCCATGTTCACAGTCCCTGCCTCAACAAGCAACAGCAATCTGGATAATCTTATTTTATATGTGCCTCCATTCTCTCCTGTTACTTGATTGTTGTTCAGTTGCTCAGTCCGACTCTTTGCGACCCCGCAGACTCTAGCACGCCAGGCTTCACTGTCCTTCACCGTCTCCTGGATCTTGCTCAAACTCATGTCTATTGAGTTGGTGATGCCCTCCAGCCATCTTGTCCTCCGTCATCCTCTTCTCCTCCTGCCTTCAATTTTTCCCAGCATCAGGATCTTTTCTAAGGAGTCAGTTCTTCACATCAGGTGGCCAAAGTACTGGAGGTTCAACTTCAGCATCAGTCCTTTCAATGAATATTCAGGATTGATTTCCTTTAGAATTCACTGATTTGATCTCCTTGCAGTCCAAGGGACTCTCAAGAGTCTTCTCCAATACCACAGTTCAAAAGCATCAATTCTTCAGTGCTCATTACTTGATTATTTTGAAGCAAATCATCAACCTGTTGGTATTTCTGTATGAATCTCTAGAAGAGAAGGCTTTTTTTTTAAAGCATCTATTAGCAGTATCACAACTAAAAAAAGTGAATGATTCTATAATGTTCATATTTTTCAGCTTTTAAAAAAATATTTTCATTTTTTATTGAACGAGGATCTAAATAAGGTCTATAAAATGTTGATATGTCATTGAAACTTTTTTCAAGGTGTCATGACCTTCCCCTCCACTATATTTTGTGGCAATTTTTTTTGTTGGAGAAATGTGCCAGGACTGTGCTGTTTTATGTGTATCAGCTTTATAGTATATTTTAATTTCTGGCAGATCTAGCCTTCTTCATTGCTCTTCTTTTCAGGATTTTCCTGGCTTGTTCATTCATATTGACAGATATCACCTAACTTAAATTCTGGGGGATAAAAACCTTGTGATAAGACTATTCTAATTGTGAAAAATTTATAGAATAACTTAGAAATGATATTTACAAGATGTTACATTTTTAAATCCTATAGTATGTCTTCCTATTTGTTCATGTTCACATGTCTGTTTTGTGGAGTGTTTTATCATTTCCCTCACACAGGTTTTAGACATTTCCTGGTACATTTATACCTAGGCATTTAACTTTCTTTTTGTATCTCTTAACTGGGATCCTCTCTTTCATTACAGCTTCTAACTGATTTTTGTTTATCCATATGAAAGTTAGTGACTTTTTTTTTTAGAATAATTTTGTAACTCACTCCATGATTAAATCTTTCATTTTATTTTTGCCCTAATTATTTAGAGTTTTCAGATATATAATTATACCATCACCAAATAGATACAGATTGCCTCTTCTTTTTCAATTCTTGTGTCTCTATTTTCTTTGTTACCTGATTATATTAGTTAATAACCCCAATATAAAAATGATGGATATTTTGAGAATGAATCTTTACCATGTTTTTGACCTTGAAAGAAAACCTTGTAGTGTTTCCTCGTTGAGTTTAGAGAACATATGATAAAAATTATATATTATAGTCTTTTATATTAATCCATATATTTACATTTCTAGTATTCTTCATTTCTTCCTATGGACTCTTTACCATTCTGGTCATTTCTTTTCAGTCTAAATAGCTTCACTTAGTCTTTCTTGTAAGACAGGTCTGCTGTCAATAAATTCACCATTCATTGTTTATCTGGGAATAATTTTATTTCACCTTGGTTTTGAAGAGTTGTTTTGCTGGGTATTAAATTCTTAATTGACAGTTATTTCTCTCAGTATTTTGAATATCTTATTCCACTACTTTCTGGCCTCCATTGTTAAGATGATGAGTTAACTGTTAATTGTATTGATGCTCCTTTGTATGTGATGAGTCAGTTTTCCATTACTACTTTCAAGATATATTTTTGTATTTGACTTGTTTTTCATATTTATCCTATTTGACGTCTGATGAACTTATTGAACATGTATATCAAGGTTTTACATCAAATTGAGAATGTTTTTAACTATTATTTTCTTCAATATTTTTTCTACTTCTTTCTCTCTCTCCTCTCTAAGTGACTGCCATTGCATATAGGTCAGTGTACTTGCTATTTCCCATAGGTCTCTGAGACTTGTTCTTTTTTCTCTTTCTGTTCTTCAGAGTAGATTATTTCTATTAATTTATCTTCAATTCAGTAATTGTTTCTTTTGCCATTGCAATATGCTGCTGTGAATTTTTCATTTCACTATTCTATTCTTCTAGTCCAGAATTTCCATTTAGACTTTATATAATTTTGATCTCCTGATTAAAAGTTGCTGTTTGTTAGTTTACTATTCTTATACTTTCCTTTAATTTCTCAAATATTATTTTCTTTAGTTCCTTGAACATACTGATGATCACTACTTAGAAGTCTTTGTCTGCTAAATCCAACATCTGGGAAATATCAGAGGCATATTTATTGACTGCTTTTTCCCCTAACTCTGGGTCCCACTTTCCCATTACTTTGCAGGTCTCATAATGTTTTTTTGAAACTGGCCATTTAAAATAAAATATGGTAGCAACTCTAGCTTGTCATTTTCCTAATACTGATGGTAACATTTAGAAAATACCAGAAATATATTTTTACAAGTAAGAAGATGAATAAATCTGGAGAAATTCACCATTACATTTATTCAATTATTCTCTGTGTCCATCAATTTTTAAAAGCCTACATTGTAGCAAGGGAAACTAAGCTGCAATCTATAAACTGACAACCATACCACAGCTACCTTAGAAAACGAGGTCTATTTTGCCCCTACAATCTCAGTTCCTTTTCAATTCCTATCTCTTTCCACATTAAACATTTAAGAGGATATGATTAGACTGACTTTACTTTAAAATCATAGTTAATGTACTAAGGATGTGTGGTGCTTAAAGGGAATAGAGTTTCTAAGGATTAATTCGGTCTCATCCTTTGTTTTCATTTTTATAGGGGACACCTAGAAAAAGAATTAGCTGATTTACCAGAAGGCACTCCATTGATGGAATGGCCCATTTCATCATGGTTCAGCTCTAAAGCTTAGGCAAGATGTTGTGAGGGAATCAGTAACCATGTGAAGTATAAATGTTCTTCATTCTTATTCAGAATAATTTCTTGGCTTTTCATTAGAACTTAGAAATTTACTTAGTAACATATCTATGCTGTGGCCATGTGAAATTGTGATTATTCTGAAACTGGCTTGTCTTTATTCTGACACCAAATTTTGTGTGAAATTTCTAGAACTAGACAAGCTCCTCAACACTCTCTGGACTAAAAGTACCTGTATCAGAAAAGATAAAATCCATCACCTTAGAAGGAAACAAAACAGCCTAACAATTCATGATGGAGACTACCCTAATCTATCTGTATCCATGGACCCAGAATCAGAAGATGGTCCAATTTCCTGGGATCAGGTATTGTCATTATTCCTCTTGTACCATTGTACTGTCAAAGGAAGCAACTGTGAACATTCTCTAAGTGTTATAGAAAACTTCAAGGGTAATGTAGATTTCCTTAAATGTAAAAATATTCTATTTCCACACTGTAGTCAGGGTTTTTTCCCTTTTACAAGTAGATCTCTGCAGATTTAAAACTTGAGGCCAAAGTATTTAGGAGAATGGTATATAATACTCTTTCCTCCATACTGAATTCATGAATAATTCAGTAAACATGCGACCATTTATCAGTCACCATTGTGTGCACTAGGGGTAAAGAATTGAACAAAAACAGGCACAGCTCCTATGGAGTTACCAGGATAGTGGGTGGATATAGACATATAAAAACAATCATGAATGAATGCTTCAAATTTAGATTAGATTATGATGAGATTACTTTGCATTGTGAGTGACAGAGAAATATTTGTATAGTAGGTGGCACTGAGAAGGTTTTTGAGAAAAGGTGGTATATGGGCCTATAAATACATTCTTATTCTTACTTCCTGAAGTTGCGTTCCAAAGTACGTTCATTAGTCTACTAGATAATATTTGTTTTTGTCTTGTTTTTTTGTTGTTTGGCTGTGCCAGGTCTTTTTTGCTGCACTAGGGCTTTCTCTAGTTGCAGCGAGGTGGGGCTACTCTGTCGTCGTGGCTCGCGGGCTTCTTCTTGCAGTGGCTCCTTTTGTTGGGGAGCACCGGCTCTAGGGCCTGCAGATTCAGTGGTTCTGGCACACAGGCCTAGTTGCACTGCAGCATGTGGGATCTTAGTTCCCAGACCAAGGATCAAACCTGTGTCCCATGCATCCACAGACAGATTCTTAACCACTAGGCCACCAGGGAAATCTGGATAATACCTCTTTCTTTTTGGCCTTGCCTCATGGAATGTGGGATCTTAGTTCCCCAATGAGGGATTGAACTCACACCCTCTCCATTGGAAGGGCAGAGTCTTAACTACTAGATTACCAGGGAAGTCCCGTGATAATTCTTAAAAAGGGGTGTTATCATCAAATCTGTTTGGGAAATAGAGATATGTATTGCACTGTAGCATATTAACACGCCTGGGGAGGTCCTGTAGTAAAGAAAATTCTTTAGTCTTATTGAATTCAGCATTTTTTAGACTGTTACACATAGAAAACTTCCCTGCTCTTATCATTTAAAATCTTGGAAAATTGATATCCCATGATAATGGCTTATATTTATGAGTAAATTAATACTACGTATTAGACACTGCAGAGTTTCCCCTGCATTTCTTCATTTAGTTATTACAAAAGCTGTATGAGGCTAGGTTAAATGATTCCATCCTCCCAATGAGGAAACTGAGTCATGGAACTAATAAGTAGTTGATTAAGTTCACAGAAACTGAGGATATATACATAAGTTGTCCCAGAGCATATTCTGTGCTCTTAACAACCATGCTATTGTTTAATAAATGTTGATTTAAAGAAATAAAACTACTTTTTGTTTGTATCTTGGATGAGTTATTATTCCTATTAGGCACAAATCTGTATATTGAAAGAGCAAAATTCTGTAAACATTTCTAACAATAGTGACTGTTGTTCCTGTAAGTTATGAATACATGATTGGGCAGTATTGCCTATTTTTGCTATGATATATTTTAAAAAGTAAATTTCTATTAATTAGGCCACATAGTAAAGGCATCAATTAAAGCTGATTATTTTAAACTCACAGTGTATTCACTGAAGGAAACAAGTTGATGCCTGTATTAATCCTTGTTTGTAAGTTCTCCTTAAATATTCCTTCAGGGCCAGCTCTTCTTAGGAAGGGAACTCATTTGTCTGATGGAGACCCTATTTGCATAAAGAATTCGGGTTATTTCTTAAAATCTAGGGATTACTTGCTTAAGCCATGCATTTTCTAAGAACAGTAACTGTCATCTTCTGTGATGACTATGCAAGATAAACAAAAACCTCTTCTTTCTCAATTATGTGTTTCAACATTCACTTTCTTTGTGACTCTGGAGGGGACCCTAAAGTAAGAGACTAGATCTGAAGATCCTGCCTGTATTATTTGGACCAGTCAGTCTTGAGGTGTTGTCCCTGGGACAGCAGTAGCAGCAGCACCTGGGACGTTGTTGGAAATGGGAATTCTCGGGTCCCACCCCAGAATCCACTGAATTATACACTCTGATTGTGGAGCCTAGCACCCTATCTTTTAACCAGCCCTCCAAGTGATTCTCAAAACTAAAATGCAGGAAGCGACACTTTAGAATGTGTTTTTAAAGTTTCCACAAAGGTCTTATGACATCAACACAAGTGTACAATTATATTGAAGTTTTAGGTAAAAGAATAAAGCTATTTTAAAGGTTATTGACGGAATCATCTAATTTTAATTCTATTTTCTTCTTTATTAAAAATAGTTTGCCAAAATTTAAAGGATATAATGAAGCACCTTTAAGGACATTTGTATTAGTGATTTCAGAAGAAATGTAATGCAATAGTAACCTAAATAGTATAGGAATAGCAAGTAGATATCAACGGCATAGAAGCTTATAATAGAATAACCTTACTCTACAAGAAGGTGTTCTAAAACTGAAAACTATTCAATTCCTTGACAATGAACTGGGGAGAGATGCATGACATTCTCTTCATGTCTACTTCTCTGCTCTTTTATTTCCCAGTCAGGCATTTTTCAGTAGGAATATTTATTATGAAGGATTCATCATAAGATGTTTATGGTTAGTTTCCCTTTATCATTGCCAGTATTTTTAATGATAATGTGGTTCTGTTCCATGATTAATAAATAGTGCAAAAGAGACTATTGTCTTTGGTACAAATTATTTTGATAAAGGGGAAAAAAATTGCAAGTCGTTGCTCCTTATAGCAGAAACATTTTGGAGTTCTTGCCCAGTCTTTCTGAGAAATGCCTTCCCCACGCACTGGGCTGAGTCCAGCGGCCATATTTGAACAGTATGATGTCATTTCCTGTCTTGGGGGCAAAACTGATGGGATCAAATAACACTGTAACAAGAAAACCCATACATGGCCTTGCTGAGACCATCAGATCTGTCAAGACTTGCAGACTCAATCCAATTTTTTTTTTCAGTTCACAGCGATCTTTATTACTTATAACTCCATATCAGTATATCGTGTGTGCATACTTCATTCTTTCTTCTATTTATGAACATACGAGCTATTTACAGTATTTTGCAGTTACAAGCACACTATTACAATGAATAATGTTGCTGTTCAGTCACTAAGTCATGTCTGACTCTTTGCGACCTCATGGACTGCAGCACTCCAGGCCTCCCTGTCCCTCACCATCTCCCAGAGTTTGCCCAAGTTCGTGTCCATTGAATCAGTGATGCTATCCAGCCATTTCATCCTCTGCCTCCCTCTTCTCCTTTTGCTTTCCCTCTTTTCCAGCATCAGGATCTTTTCTAGTGAGTCGGCTCTTCACACCAGGTAAATGGAATGGGCTGGGGCTTACATGGCCTTTTATTTTTTTTTAAGACTTTTTGGATGTGGATCACTTTTAAAGGCTTTATTGAATTTATTACAATATTGCTTCTGTTTTTTGTCTTTGCCTGTGAGGCATATAGGAGCTTATCTCCCCGAGCAGGGTTCAAACCTACACCCCCTGCATTGGGAGGTGAAATCTTAACCACTGGACTGCCAGGGAAGAACCTGGCCATGTGTTTACTAAAGAGAGAAGGCCAAGTGTTTATTAAAGAGAGGAGGCCAGACTGTGAAGGGAAATAGATGTCTGCAGGGGGAAACAGAAAGGAGAAAATACAGAGCCCTGAAGAAATAGAGAAAAATCTTTGGTTTTCATTTTCCAGCTTCTAGTTGAATTCCTCATAAAATGTGACTGTCCTTCCCATGTCAGACATCCTCTGTAACCTTAATACATCCTCCTCTGGGTGTTTGGTGGTTTAAGTGGCTCTGTTCCATGCAACCACATGTCTCCCAATCAAGATAAAGCTTTTTAACCCTTTGGATCATCCCAGAGGATTTTTATTTTGGAAAAACCAGCAAACATCATCATTTTCTGATTAGCCACGTGTCTTTGTTTAAAACCCCTACTTTCTATAGCATGGCAAATCAATCCTTGGACATCACTGATTTTTTTAAAGATTCCTTACTGTGACCTCAGATCACACTGCTCTTGCATTGGGGTCTTATTTCATTAGAAGACATCCATTTGTGCTAGTGAAACTACACACCCTTCTCATCCACATATGAAAACTTTTCAATGTATTTTTGATGCATAAAATGTCAGCCCTTAACACTTCTGAAGTGGACAAATGTTTTCAGGCAGTTGTTAGAGATCTGTTTCATTTATTGTTTAGCTACTTCTTTCATGAATATCCCTATACAATATGAAAAAATAGATAAAAACTAGTAAAATCTATAGGCAATAACAATGATTTCAATTGTTTTTGTGGTGAAGGGCTGTCAAAGAACATAGGTCACCATATCATTTAGTGCTTACACACCAGCAAGTTGACACAGCATCCACTTTTTAAAATATTACCTTTACTTTTATTGCTTTTGAAAATTCATGTTGCTGACACAGGCTTATTAAATCAGATAATATTAAAGACTATGATCTTATTCCTCCAGATCTCCTTTTTATCCTATAAAGTTTTAACTTCATTAATAATACAAAGCCATGCCCCCAACAAGAGTCTTAAGGCTTGCTTAGGCTGCTGGTTAGAACACCATCCAGCACATTGTAAAACAATCTGCATCTCCTCTCAGGAAAGAAAAACGTTTGCAAAACTCCTACCACACAATACTCAGAATGAAAGTGAGATACAGCTGCTTTAATTAGAGATGAAAAACAATCCTCGAGAATTATGTATGGTCAGAAGGTTGCAAGGAAACACACATAGTAATGGCTTCATATGTTGACTTGAACCCTTCCAGTTTAGTCCTGATTCCTCCAGGATAGTAGTTGATGGTGAATTTGGTCCAGTGCTGAGGTTGGTAACAATGCATGTTCTGCCTCCTACAGACTTGCTTCTCTGCCGGGCAGTTGGCGAACATATTTCTACAGAACAAGCGTTCACCCATTTCTAAGGAGGACTTTAAGCAATTGAGTCCAGGAATCATTCAGCAATTGCTCAGCTGTTCTTGCCAGCTGCCCCAGAACCAACAAGCAAAGATGGCACCCACCACGCTGGAGAGTAAGTCCTGGCTCATCACTCAGAAAGCCAATGCTCACAATGCATACAATCCACACAATGGATTCATGATGGTGAAGGAAGGATACATACCATACACCAGGCACTGTTTTAAGCATTTTACTTTGATCAGCTCATTGAGTCCTTACAGCAATGCTACCAGCTATAAATTATTATTATCTTCACTTTAGAGATGATGAAACTCAGGTAACTGGAAGTTAAATAACTTGCCCAAAGACACATAGCTAGTATTGATAGAATTGGGATTCAAACGCAGACAATTTGGTCCCATAGTTCTTGTTTTTAACCACCTATGCTATACTACAGTTCAATGAATATTTTATATTTTGTAGCTAACTTACATAAATCGATTCTATCCCCTATCTTTGACTCAATCATAGACCATAGTTGAATCACAGACCATAGTTGAATAGCTTTATCATTTTGAGAATGTTATAGAAATGAAATCCTACAGTATGTATCCTTTTGGGATTCAGGGTATTTTTCCACTCATCAAAATCTCCTTATAATCCATCTAGATTATTTTGTGTATTAATAAATTGTTATTATTATTATTATTGAGTAGAAGCAGGGCAAAGGCAAAGGCAAAGAGTTTTGCTAACAGAACACACTGGTCATAGTAAACACCCTCTTCCAACAACACAAGAGTTGACTATACATGGACATCACCAGATGGTCAATACCGAAATCAGACTGATTATATTTTTTGTAGCTGAAGATGGAGAAAATCTGTAACAGTCAGCAAAAACAAGACCTGGAGCTGACTGTTGCTCAGATCATGAACTCCTTATTGTCAAAAGCAGACTTAAATTGAAGAAAGTAGGGAAAACCACTAGACCATTCAGGTATGACCTAAATCAAATCCCTTATGATTATACAGTGGAAGTGAGAAATAGATTCAAGGGATTATGTCTGATAGAGTGCCTAAAAAACTATGGAAGGAGGTTTGTAACATTGTACAGTAGGCAGTGATCAAAACTATCCCCAATAAAAAGAAATGCAAAAGGGCAAAATGGTTGTCTGAGGAAGCCTTACAAATAGCTGAGAAAAGAAGAGAAGTGAAAGGCAAAGGAGAAAAGGAAAGATATACCCATCTGAATGAAGAGTTCCAAAGAACAGCAAGAAGAGATAAGAAAGCCTTCCTAAGCGATCAATGCAAAGAAATAGAGGAAAACAATAGAATGGTAAAGACTAGAGATCTCTTGAAGAAAATTAGAGATACCAAGGGAATATTTCATGCAAAGATGGGCACAATAAAGGATAGAAACAGTATGGACCTAACAGAAGCAGAAGAGATTAAGAAAAGGTGGCAAGAATACACAGAAGAACTATACAAATAGGTATTAATGACCCAGATAACCACGATGGTGGGTGTGATCACTCACCTAGAGCCAGACATCCTGGAATGCAAAGTCAAGTGGGCCTTAGGAAGCATCACTACGAATAAAGCTAGTGGAGGTGATGGAATTCCAGTTGAGCTATGTCAAATCCTAAAAGATGATGGTGTGAAAATGCTGTACTCAATATGTCAGCAAATTTGGAAAACTCAGCAGTGGTCGCAGGACTGGAAAAGGTCAGTTTTCATTCCTACCCCAAATAAAGGCAATGCCAAAGAATGTTCAAACTACCGCACAATTGCAGTCATCTCACATGCTAGCAAAGTAATGTTCAAAATTCTCTAAATCAGGCTTCAACAGTACATGAACTGAGAACTTCCAGATGTTCAAGCTGAATTTAGAAAAGAAAAGGCAGAGGAATGAGAGGTCAAATTGCCAACATCTGTTGGATCATAGAAAAAAGCAAGATAATTCTAGAAAAACTTCTGCTTCATTGACTACATCAAAGCCATTGACTGTGTGGATCATAACAAACTGTGGAAAATTCCTAAGATGGGAATACCAGACCACATTACCTGCGTCCTGAGAAATCCATATGCAAGTCAAGAAGCAACAGTTAGAACCAGACATGGAACAATGGGCTGGTTCTAAATTGGGAAAGGAGTACGTCAAGACTATATTGTCACCCTGCTTATTTAACTTATATGCAGAGTACATCATGTGAAATGCCTAGCTGGATGAATCACAAGCTGGAATCATGATTGCTGGGAGAAATATCAATAACCTCATATACACAGATGGCACCACCCTTATGGCAGAAAGTGAAGAAGAACTAAAGAGCCTCTTGATGAAAGTGAAAGAGGAGAGTGAAAAAGTTGGCTTAAGACTCAACATTCAAAAAACGAAGATCATGGCATCCGGTCCCATCACTTCATGACAAATAGATGGGGAAACAATGGAAACAGTGAGAGACTTTATATTTGGGGGCTCCAAAATCACTGCAGATGGTGATTGCAGTCATGAAAATAAAAGACGCTTGCTCCTTGAAAGAAAAGCTATGACCAACCTAGATAGCATATTAAAAAGCAGAGACATTACTTTGCCAACAAAGGACCATCTAGTCAAAGCTATGGTTTTTCCAGTAGTCATGTATGGATGTGACAGTTGAACCATAAAGAAGGCTTAACAGTGAAGAATTGATGCTTTTGAACTGTGGTGTTGGAGAAGACTCTTGAGAGTTCCTCAGACAGTAAGGTGATCCAACCAGTCAATCCTAAAGGAAATCAGTTCTGAATGTTCATTGGAAGGACTGATGCTGAAGCTGAATCTCCAATACTTTGGTCACCTGATGCAAAGAACTGACTCATTGGAAAAGACCCTGATGCTGGGAAAGATTGAAGGTAGGAGGAAAAGGGGACGACAGAGGATGAGATGTTTGGATGGCATCACCGACTCAATGGACATGAGTTTGAGCAAACTCTAGGAGTTGGTGATAGACAAGGAAACCTGGCATGCTGCAGTCCATGGGGTTGCAAAGAGTTGGACACGACTGAGAAAATGAACTGAACTGCTTCTTTGATATGAATATACCATATTTCGCTTAACCATTCACCTTTTAAAAAGTGGATTATTTTCAGTTTTTGGCTATTTGAAAAAACTTACTATGAATATCTCTGCAAAAAACAAAAAAGTTGATAGTTGAGAAATAGCGTAGTGTAAGAGAAAGAACATCAGTGTTGGGATCAGAAATGCAGAATTGAGTCATGCTGTCTGTCCCCAGCCAACTCTGTGATCTTCTACAATCTATATTTCTCAAGCCTGTCTCTTTCCCTGCACCGTGCAAAGCAGTGATTCCACAAGGCTTACTATCCTTTCACACATCATGGCACACAGGAAATGATGAAGGCATGTTGGGGCAGACCAAAGAAGCTGCTCTGGGCTGGCGGTGACCAGGCCAGGGAGGGGCAAGCCTCCTGAATGTGGCAGCCCCAGGAAGTGCAGGGACCACTACTCACACTTGGGACTTCCCTGACAGTCCAGATGTGAAGCCTCTATGTTTCTAATGCAGAGGGTGTCAGTTCAACCCCCAGTCAGGAAACTAAGAGCTCACATGTGGCATGGTACAGTCAAAAGAGAAAAGAAAAAGAATTCACACTCACCTGTGACCCATAGCATCATCACAGCACGTGAGCTTTTCTGTAAGACTTCCAGGACACCAGTGAAATTTCAGTGGGATAATATGTACAAAAGTGTGTTCTATAAATTTAAAACACCTGAAGTTTATTTATTTTCTTGCAACAAAAATGCCATTTTTATTTACCTGAGTTCTTCATAAAGATCTTTTGAAGACATAAATATGAGGACCATCAAAATGATCTCAGAGTGACAAAATGTTTTTCTTACCACTTACCAAAATACCCTATCATTTTTAATAAACTATAGTCATAAGTAGTTATAAAATGTTGTGCAGAACTGGACACATGGCATGTGGACTATTAGATTAAAAATTGGACAGAATAAAGAATCCATAAGCAACTTCATCCCAGAAGGGACTTTAGTCAGTGGAGAAATCATTCACTTAATTGTGTTGAGAGAGTTTGGAAAAACAAAACCAGAAAAATGACCAAAAAATGGTGGCCTAAGAACAGGTATGATGAATAGTAAAAATATGACAGTTAACCATATTTAAAATATTACCTTTGATCTGAGGATGTTACATTTTTTTTTTCAGAACTGCTTTTCTTTTTCTTTGAGATAGTCTGCAATGCCCGTCATAGCCGAATTGTTCAGCCCTTATTTCTAACTCATAATAGATTCTACATCAAGTGACTCATCATGCCAGGCCTATATATTTAAGACTTCACATTCACTAAAAGGAAAAAAAACTTCATTAAAAATGAGCAGCTAAATAATTCAACACCTTGTGGCCAGTGATGGCTCAAAAATGGATGAACAGGACTGGATCATGGCACCTAGGAGCTCCCATATTTGTTTCTATTCCCTGGCACTGTGTCTGGTCATACAGGCCATTCATAAACAGGGTTTTGGACTGAAGATCCAAGAAAAAGTTTATTCCCATTTAAATTGACTTCTATATCCTTCTAGGAAACAGTCTTCCTGAGAAAAATTCATACAAATCATACTCACTAAAGAACCTAAAAAAAAAAAAAATCACTTTCCTCAATTTAAAATGTTGCATCATATAACTGAAAAGAAAGACTTGTGATGTTGGCCTTTTGAAAGTGCAGGAATGTAAGATGTTAAAGAGTGGAAGACACAGGAAGATGTTATTAAGAACACAGTGTTCAGTATGCTGAAACTCAACTTCTAAGAGCTGTCTTCAACTGAATTTCCAGGAAGAATGTTATAGCTGAGTAGAAATCATTTCAGATCTATTCAAAGAAGCTGCTTGGAATTGACTAAAATTTTATTATAATTGGTAGTACGTCCAGTTCTGTTTTAAGGACGAGAAACATTTATAAGGAATCTGAGTCCAATCAAGACACCATGACACTATATAGGGAACTAGAGTAAGTCTGCAGAGTCTGGTGGCAACAAAAGTCAGAGATTTTATGATTTTCAGATGGTTCTTGCCACAGGAGAGCAGGTGTAATCTGACTCATAGAAGACCTAGAAAGTTTTAAAAGCTCTCAAGGAATGGAACATCCTTTGTCTTCCAAAACCACACTGTAGCTCAGTAGTCATCTACAGATGTGAGAGTTGGATCATAAAGAAGGCTGAGCACTAAAGAATTGATGCTTTCGGACTGTGGTGTTGGAGAAGACTCTTGAGAGTCCCTTGGACTACAAGGAGATCAAACCAGTTAATCCTAAAGGAAATCAACCCCAAATATTCATTGGAAGGGCTGATGCTGAAGCTGAATCTCTAGTACTTGCCCACCTGATACAAAGAGCCAACTCATTAGAAAAGACCTGGATGCTGGGAAAGATTGAAGGCGGGAGGAGAAAGGGATGACAGAGGATGAGATGGTTGGATGGCATCGCCAACCCAATGGACATGAATCTGAGCAAACTCCAGGACATAGTGGAGGACAGAGGAGCCATGTGTGCTGCAGTCCACGGGGTTGCGAAGAGTCAGATTCAGCTTAGTGACTGAACAACAGCAAAGCCACCCTCAGGACAAAGGGACAAGAACTGAAGAACTTGAAACTTTGCCTTTTGCCTAGGAAACATCAACCCCTAATTTGTCCTTGTGAGTTCTTGACATTTGGTGATATTTTGTACCTACCAGAAAAGTGTGGTAACTTTGAACTTGATTAGACTGCTGGGTGCTCAGGTTAAACTTCAAATGTCTTTAATTTACAGGTTAGTTGAGAAGAATCATGTTCCCACTTGAGTCTATTTGTGGAAAAGTAGGATGTGAAACTGGATGAACTATCTCTAGGGATTTTTTAAAAATAAAATAGATATTAAATTAGAGCAAAATAAAACCTTTAGGTAGCTGTATGATCATTCTGAACTATTTTAATTTTTGACTTCATGACACATGGGAGCCTAGTTTCCCTATCAGGCATCAAACCCACGTTCCATGCATTGGCAGCAAGGAGTTTCCACCACTGGACCACCAGGGAATTCTCCCTTGTTATTTTTTCAATGTGGTAAAAAAGTACATAAAATTTACCCATCTCAATCCTTTTAAGTGTATAGCTTAGTAGTGTTAAGTATTTTCACATGGCTCTGCAACAGATCTCTAGAACTGTTTCATTTTGCAAAACTGAAACTGTATATCCACTGAACAACAACCAATTTGTAGAGATTGCTTAGCTGCGAAGGAGTTGTGGTGACAGTGGGAAAAAAATCAAAGTGTGAAAGTTTTTAGCCTGCTCTGAGTATGCTACCAACTTCGTTTTAATGTTCAATCTCTGTTTAATGGCAGAGTGTATAATTTCATAAAAGTCCTCTTCACATGCCACACCTACTATCATCTTACTAGCTAGTGTCATTAACCTGATCTGCTGTAGAGAGTCAACGTTCCAGAAAAGTACAAAAATGATGAAGATGGAACATCTTCAATTATAACAAACTTGAAGAGAGTAGTTACTTAAAATCTTCAGTGGGCTTTAAGTAGTATGGTAACTGAATTGTTCAATTTAATTTGTCACTTATTTGTAGTTATAAAAGGAAATGATCGTTTAATGTGGTAATGACCTATCTTCATTGTTTACAAACAAGTTAGTAATTTCTAAATAAGTTGAAACAGAGTATTTGCTCTGAATATCTATAACCAATGGAAAATGGTATTTGAATATGGTTTATACCCAAATAATGTACACTTGACTCTGAAAGCTATGTTTTTCTGTTTTAATCTTTCTCTTTCCTTTCTTCCTCTACTATTTCTTCTCTCCTTCCACATGTTTGTTTCTGTTCGAATAACTGTGAAAAAATTGTACTTTCTGAATATTTTAAAAAATGTAGAATCTTAGAAATAGGGAATATATTTTAGGGGTCAGAAAAATTATTGTAATAATTGAAAAGTTAGGCTGTCCAAATTTATATTATCACCCTTTATTCATTTATTGATTAGTTTTTACCAATAGAGTCACTCATTTCAGTCACAGAGGATAGTAAAAACTTTTGACATTACAAATAATTTTGAGACCTTTTGGAAGAAAGTACTCATTTTGTCCACAAATACAGATCTACAGTGGCCCAGGCCGTATGCTCTTTCTGTCCCATTGCTTCTTGCCTTCGAAAGGTTTAAATGTGGTTAGATGACAAATATTACCACTGTCTGTCGGTGAAGGTTGTAGTTTGTTTTTAGTTTTAATTTTGTTGTCTGCACTGGGTCTTCACTGTAGCGTGTAGAATTTTCTCTAGTTGAAGCATGTGGGGTCTCCTCTAGTTGCAGTTCATGGGCTCTAGGGTGCATGGGGCTCAGCAGTCATAGTTTGCTGTGGCTTGTGGAACCTTAGTTCCCTGACCAGGAATTGAACCCACATCCCCTGCACTGGACGGCGGATTCTCAACCATTGGACCACCAGGGAAGTCCCAAGCTTGTAGTTTAAAGCAAGAGAAATTATTTTCTTTGAGGGTAGGAGGTAAGCTAGCTCCTTGCTACAGTGATTATTTTTTTAACAAGGGGAAATCAGGGTAACTTCAAAATAATGGAGTAAATTAGTAAAAATCTTTTCATTCTTTTCCTTACAAATTAAAACCTTAAATCCAATATGGCACTCACAAAACAATTTTGTATCCCTAGCTATTGTAGTATAGGATGGATTCTTCTACCATGTTCACCGGCAGACGCACTCCCAGGGCCCTCTGACTGGTTTTGACCTCTTTTTGACTCAGAATATGGCTACAGCACTATGGCGGTGACGCTGCTTACGCTGGGCTCCATGCTTGGGACGACACTGATCCTTTTCCACAGCTGCGAGGAGAACTACAGGCTCATTTTACAGCTGTTTGTGGGCCTGGCTGTTGGGACACTTTCTGGGGATGCTCTGCTCCACCTCATCCCTCAGGTAAGCTGCTATTTTCCATTTCATCTGGAGTGTTTCTAGTTTCAATTTATGTTTAGCCATTGGAGGTGTTTATGAAGAATTTCACAGTGACCTGGATGCATAGATACAGTGGCCAGTGTTTTCCCTGGAAATCACTGTTATTTCCCCAAAGCCCTTGCAGGAGAAAAGAGATGATCAGTCATTCGATTCACCAGGTTATTCTTATTTTTGAAATTAAAAAATAAGAGATTAGATACAAATTCCTATTGAAACCATTGGGTGTCATTTCCAGGGCTCCAAAGAGCTTTGGTACCAGAGTCCTCTATGTCTCAGCGCAGAAGAGAATTCAGCAAGAGGCAAAGTGATAGATAAGATGTGATTTATTAGAATAGGACACTTGTGAGGCTTACAAGGGAGTGCCATGCCTTAAGAACTTACTGGGCTATGGTTTTATAATCAAAGGATAAGGGGGAGGGGGGGAAGAACTTTTCCTTGAGTAGACATCTTGCTTCCATCATCAGCTCCTCCTACAGTTTGGGCAGGAGAGTTTTCTTGTCCCTATGTGCTCAAGCTAGGTCCATAAATTACTGAATTTTATGTCCTAAGGATCATTAACTTATTGAGCTCACCGAGCAGGGTATGGGTCTCATGCCACCACTGTTTTATTGATTTGGGGCATGTCTTGTGCTTCCGTTGCATGCTTTTGTTGCTAAACAAGTCTGCTTGGTTTTGTGGTTAAGCAAACCTGCTCTCTTGAGTAATCATTAACTTATGAGGGTCTCTCATATTTTTTTCTACTTTCAATCCCCTGTAGCATAATTAACTATATAATCATACTTTATCCCTTTATTCTGTCCCTGTCACTATGAAGGAAAATTCATAAATGGTGAGTATCTGTAAATAAAAATGAATGGGCTATAATATATACTAGTTTTTCTCTGCTGGCCCCCAACCTCATCAGATCCATTCTCTGCTCTTGTCCGCTGTGTGTTCTGCCCCAGAAGACTGTATCCCCTCAACTCCCTGCAGGCTGGATTGTTGTTTGGGCTCCCCAGCGGGGACACCACAGAAAGGCCAAGGTGGGAGGAGAGAGTGGCAGGGGTACTTCTTCCTTGCTCCATCCCTCTGACACTGTCTCTAGAAGCAGCGCATTACCTGCAATGTTACAGCTCCCATGGGTCCCTAGCTCCTCCCCCATTAGAGTTCGGTAACATCATTTCCAACCTTTGCCCTTTGCCCTTTCAGCCTTAAAAGTGGTAATGGTTTCCTGGGGTTGCTAGTCTCTGGGGTGTCTCATTATCCCTCATTCATACCCTTGACCCTGCCCACACCTCTGTCATGGCACCATCATTAAAACTCTCTTCATTTGAACCATCAAAATGAATTTCTCTTTCTTGCCCAACTATTAGTGTCTGTTTTTGTTGTTTGTTTAGTCACTAGGTTGTGTCCAACTCTTTCACAACCCCGTGGACTGTAGCCCACCAGGTCCTCTGTCCTTGGGATTTCCCAGACAAGAATACTGAAGTGGGTTACCATGTCCTTCTCCAGCATGTATTTCCAATCCAGGGATCAAACCCATGTCTCCTGCATTGACAGGTAGATTCTTCACCCTTTAAGAAACAGGCAATCTCCAGCACTGGCTCTTTGTTGAAGTCTTTGGAGGCTCTTTATTTGTCAGAAATGGAAGGGTTAGGACCTGAGATGCAAGAGTTCAGGGAAAAGGGTCTTCAGATGAGGCTATCCATTACTTCTGAGATCTCTCATGATGGATCATGATGAACAAATGATTCCTCCTCCTCTCACAAAACCTGAGATATTAAAACTTTCCACAGGCCTCTGGCATTTTCCTCCAGGGTCCCTCTTGTTGGTTAGAGGCTCAAAAATTATTAGATGTTCTGAAAATTGCAAAGTGAGCATTGTAGATATGAAACAAACCATTATTAGTTTTAATCTCCCTGGTAATTAATTTTCTGGAAATATTTCAGGGTTTATTTACTTGAGGCAGTGGCCAAAGCCTGTTTCTATGTCACTGTAGTGGGTGCAGAGCTCTTCACAGCCCAGGATCCTGGGAAGTAGCAACAGGATCTTAAGACTGCTCCGGTCTCCCTCAGTGGGAAAGCCCAGAGCCCAAGGCAGCAGGGGTGGGTGTAGGTTGGGTGGGACAGTCAACTGGCTCTACGGAGATATATTACAGAGGAAAACGTAGCTGAGAAGGCAGTTGCTTTGCTTAGAAGGCAATTGCTTTACTTGAAGAAAGAGAGGACAGAAGTTATCCAGAAGAGGAAGACAGATGCAGTACCAATGTGGCAGAAAGCTAGAAAAATCAGTGGTTCCTGAAAGTGATCCAAGGCAAGTGTTTAAAGGTCTGCGTAGAAATGAGAAAAATCCCACTGGCATCATTTCCTCTTTTAACTAGCTATGTTGATTCTACTTTAAGATCTACATTTTATTCTGAAATTATGAGGTTTTCCTGTTTCTTTTGTGACATTACAGTGTCCTTGTTTTGTGAAATAATGGTAATTACAAATATTAGGGGAGTGTCCTTCAATGTCTTTACCAAAGGAAAATGTGGAAACTTCTCTGGCAGTCCAGTGGTTAAGACTTCACCTTTCAGTGCAGGGGGTGAGGGTTTGATCCCTAGTTGGCAAGCTAAGATTCCACATGCCTCATGGGCAAAAAACCAAAACATAAAACAGAAGCAATATTGTAACAAACTCAATTAAAAAAATGGTCCACCTTAAAAAAAATTCTTTTTAAAAAAAGTGGGCTAACATGTGTTTGTCTTTAGTGATGTCCATACACTCGATGTGTACACGGAGATCTACACATATACTCACACATGTACATACATGTATATATACATAAATATCTTTACACATTGACATGAACATATACACAGATAAATTCTTTTTTAAATATAATGATCAGTAACATCCTAAATGTGGAGACCGCTGAATTGTTTCCCAAACTGTCTTCTCCTATGAAGGGAATATGATACATTATAATTTACTTGCTCATAAGAAGTCATGAGGTCAACCAATGGGATGAGTCAACCAATGGGATGAGTCAACTCAGGGAAAATTCCTAATGCTTTTCTGGTATCCTTTTATGTCCCAAGGAGCTGACAATATTGCTGGGCATACTCAATGGAAAAAATCTTTCAGGTGGATTTGTTACTTATTTGAACACTGATTAACAGCTTTAATTGCTATGAGGCATGGGGAGAATAAACCCTGGATGAAATATCTTTATATTTATTCTGGATATTAAAAAACATTGATTTGTTATAGAGCATTGTTGTGCAAATAGGGACAGATTGAACTGAAAAACATTCAGCTAAAGGACTGAGAATGTATGAAAATTTAAGCCACACTTGCTAAGATAGGCTTAGGCTTTAGTCTACTCATTGGCAGAGGTTATTCAAAGCTCTGTTTTCTTTTCTCCCATCTTATTTGACCCTGAGTAAATCATATAGTGGAAAGATTCATACATCTAGAAAGTAAACTGTCTGTGAATGATTTCAGGTGTTGTCATGGGGTTCCCGAAAATGGAAATTGAACATATTCAACAATGGACCTAGTAATTTACATTTAGGTCACCAAAATTTATGTCTGTCTCTTCTTTTTAGATTCTTGGCTTACATATGCAGGAAACCTCAGAGTTTGGACATTTCTATGAAAACAAAGGGCATATTTGGAAACTGTTGGGATTAATTGGAGGCATCCATGGATTTTTCTTAATAGAAAAATGTTTTATTCTTCTTGTATCACCAAGTGCCGAGGTATATTTTAAATTTTATTTATCTTTTGCTTTAGAGCTTCATGATATTTGTCTTTTATTTGAAAGCTACTTGTTCAAAAGTAATTGGCATCTTCATGAGATTGTCTGTTTAAGGGGTCAGGCTCTGATTTCTAGAATGCTTAGATCATTCTGACAGACAGCATCCCTGTCAGCATGATTATTAATTTTTCAAACATCTGTTGCTGGCCCATTATTATACTTGTTATAACCTGTTTTGTGGCCTTCATGGCTAGTTTAGAAATAGGAGACTATTTCACATTTGAGAATGAGGGAGTTTAAAGGTCTAGCTACCAATCTGTGTTTTGGGTATCTTTCCTAACTCAAAACAAAAAGCAAACAAAAATTTTGAAAAATTCATAAAACCACACATCACTTTCTATCTTGTGTGTGTGCTAAGGGCCTTCAGTTGTGTCCAACTTCCTGCAACCCTGTAGATTGTTGCCCGCCAGACTCCTCTGTCCATGGGATTCTCCAGGCAAGAATACTGGAGTGGGTTGCCATGCCCTCCTCCAGGGGATCTTCCTAACCTAGAGATCAAACCCGCATCTCTTATCTCCTGCATTGGCAGGTGGTTCTTTACCACTAGTGCCATCTGGGAAGCCCCTTTTCTATCTTGCATGTATGCATGCTAAGTCACTTCAGTCATATGGGATTCTTTTGCGACCCTATGGACTGCAGCCCGCCAGGCTCCTCTGTCCATGGGATTCTCCAGGCAAGAACACTGGAGTGGGTTGCCATGCTCTCCTCCAGGGGATGACATTTAAAATATAAAAACAAGAAACTCAAGAATGGAAATGGCAGCAAATATTTTTTTTTTTCGGCTTGAGTAATTGCTTTTACAGTGCCTGGTGTTGATCAATTTCTACATATATGATGACATGTAAAATGCAGTGTGGCTAATACATAGATTTCATTTCTTCTTGCTCATATATATTATCCTATAAGAGAATAGGTGAACAGTTTTGTGGGATGTTTCAAAAAGGTAAATGCTTTCAAAAAAAACTCCAGGAGACTAAAATAAACTCCCTACAAAGTCCTGCAGTTCTCCAGTCTTCATGGCTTTCTATTTATTTCCTAACTTTCTACCTGTTCATGTAGCTGTAAAATGCTTGTCTTAGGGCAAACATTAGTAGTCTTTTAAAATATTAGCACTTTTTGTTTATCTTTCCTAGATTATTCAAAATTTCTATTTTATGCATCAAAAATAGGGTGGGTTATGGATGGATAAAGGATGGTAGATAAATAGATGGATGATAAAATAGGTGTATAAAATGTTGATGGTAGGATTTAGGTAGTTAGTGTCTGAGTGTTGACGTCATAATTCTTTCAGCTTTTCTGTATATTTGAAACTTTTTACAATAGATTTTAAATGAAATTCTGTAAAAAAAAAATTTCTGTTTTAATGAATCAGAGTGGTTCTTTGGCATGGGGTCAAGCTAGAGTGCTATCTATAACAATTCAGGAATTAGGAATGGCAGATTCAATCCCAACCCTTACTCTAAAAGTTTAGGGGTTTAACCCCACAAAAGGAGTTCTAATCTAACTAAGCACTAAAGACAATACTAAAGGATCCCCATTTACACACAAGAGACTATCAATCTTGGGCTGGAAAATTAATTTACAAAGCCAATATATTGACTTATGTGTAATAATTAGAAATGTAACCAGATGGAACTGAGTGAAGTAAATTCTGAATATCCAAAAATTATGCTTTTTTTTTTTCCAGATTGTTCTTGGACTTGTCAGGGAACTTAAAATAAGTTTTAAGAATGTAATTTTAAGATGCATGACATTGTGTAAAAAAAAAAAAGGAATGTGAATATTTTAGAAGCTACATGTACTCTAATTGGTGGAAGTCTTTCTGGAGATTTTAATTTAGTAGTTATAAGGTGTAATACAGTTTCAGTTATCATCCTTTTGGATATCATTCTCCATCAGAAAGAACTCATAATTTAATATTGTGGGAAATAAAAGTGACAATATAAAAAAATACCACTGTTCAACCTTTGTAAATCATGACTAAAATTTTTGAGGTTGCGTTCTTCAAGCACTGAGAATATGCATGATATTCAGGACAGTCCTGTGCTTTTCTATTTAGCAAGTATTTATCCTGATGAAATTCTCCCAATAATCTTTTTGTGTCATCTACCTCATTGGCCAGTAAACAAAATGTTAGATAGAATCATGGAATTGACAAAGGCTGCACCTGTGTTCTTCTGGCTTCAGCACTAATTTTAAACCATCCTTATCCAGCAGGACATGTCATTGGTTAACGGGCATGTGGCGCATTCCCGCCATCTTGCATTCAACCCTGAATTAAGTGACCAGTCAGGCAGAGGCAAATCTGCTTCAACTATCCAGTTGGTAGGTTACTGATCTGAAGTATTCTTCTGATTTGATCACCTTTTTTCTTTTATTCCTTGATTGATAAATGAAAATCAGTAGGCTAGATAAGTAGAATCCCCTCCTGATTTGCTTATTCTTGATCATGATAAATCCTGTTTGGAAAACTTTGTCAAGCACCTGAAGGCTGTTTTCAAGGGGTAAATGCATTTTCCATAGATTCAAATCTCTGCTATCTGCACCTCTTTGAAACACATGTGGATCAGATTGACATAATATACATATCCTTCATTACTGTGTTTACAAGTTTTCATAAACCAGCTGACCTTGAGATTTCTCCATTCTGAGTAATCCTTTAGTCATGACTAGATGAGGCCAAATAAATGTTGAGCAAGGAATTAGAGCGTTTAGGAGTGGGGCGTTCAATTTGTGATGTAGGAGAGAAGTGATTCTGCCTAAGAAGATGTCTCATAGTTAAGTGCCTTTTGTTACACTAAATTTTTCACGACAAAGGTCTTCCATGTGAATTCTCAAAAGGAGACATATGTATACCTATGGCTGATTCATGTTGATGTATGACAGAAACCAACAAAAAATTGTAAATCAATTATTCTCCAACTAAAAATAAATTATTTAATAAAACACACCCTCCAGTCAAGTTCAAAACAATATTCTCATTATAGTTCTTAAAGTCATAAGAAAAGGGACAGGAAAAAATGAAAGTATATCACAATTAGAAAACATGCCTCCCATAACCCTGATCTTGAAGGAGGGTGTTACAGTTCAAGGGTAGTTTCCCAAGTGGAGAGAAGTAACCTATTCCTGAGAAGTTAACCTGGCAAAATACAAGTCTGGGAGTAGACTGCAGAGTTACAGCCAATTCAGAGATATGAACATAAAACATTTCTTTAAAATAATAGCTTTAAAAGCCTTATTGTGTTTAGTGTTTAGATATGTCACATGTGGTTTGAAAGAAGATAGCTTCAAGTTGAGATCACACTTTCTGTTTTGTTTTGTTTTTGGCTGCACTGAACAACTGGCAGGACTTAATTCCCTGACTAGAGATTGAACGCAGGCCCCAGCAATGAAAGTGCTGAGTCCTAACCACTGGACAGCCAGGGAATTCCCTGAGATTAGTTTTTAAATCACTTTAAATCTGCACATTTTTCTTCTGTTTCTAGATCCACCAATTTCAGGCAAGAGTCCTGTCTACCTCCTTTAATCCTTCTGAACCCCTCTTCTCAGCCATCCTTCTCCAAAATTAGCCTATCATTACATCTTTTGAATAACTGTTGTTATTCTAACATTTGAATGTTAGGTTTACCTTCTCTGTTTTACTTTTTAAAGAAGATGCTTGTCTCACATGAAATTTGTCTCAAAGTTTCCACAATTTTGGGTAATGTGAGTATACTTCTAAAATGCTCCATAGGCAGATATGAAGTATTCTTTTCACGTGCTAAAATAAGAATCTGAGGCCTAGAGAGGGAAAGTGACTTTCCTGAAATTGAAAATGAGTCAGTCTCTGAATGAAATCATATCATCTCAACTCTTAGAAGTCAATTTCAAAATCTCACTTCCCTGCCATGTGAAAGGATGAAAGACCTTTTCAAATATATTCCTTTAGTAAGTTTGTGGATCTCCTTTACTAATGAGCAAGATTTCTTTTTACTGACTGGAAAACAACAGTAACAGCATCTACGCTACAATGAATGAATTGAAATATTGGGTTTAAAAGGGCTTCTTCTCCACAATCCACTTGAAGATCAGAAGATGAATTCTAGATCTACGATCTGCCATATAGGAACAGGGGCAACTTTGGTCAAGAGTCAAGAATCATTTTTTCCTACAGCTTTTGGCTTTCATAAAGGCTTTCATAATTTAAGAGTGAATTACAGATGATCTAGGTAGCCTCTAGCTCTCTATGGAAGACTCTGATCTATGTAAGAGTGCTATTTTCATCTAAATGTGATAGTGGGAAAAAAAATGTGCTTGCAGAGCCTCGGCTCTACCTTATATGTTTGTCTATGAAATTTAGAAATTCTCGTATACTCCAGAGGATCAAAATGTCTTCTGATAATCAACATCAATCCTCAGATGTTTCATTTTTTGATAAAATGATGACTATTGCTTATCTTTCCTCTTTTATTTTTTTAATTTAAAATAGAAAGGCCCAGAAGATGCACAGGCAGCTGAAATTTCTATACCTAGTCTGAACACCCCCAACAGAAAATGTGAGTACCAATTTAAAAAATCCAAACAAATATAGGAAGTTCCATAGAAAAAGGTAATATCTCCTTTGAAATAAATATGTCAAAACCATATCCATTTCCTATTAGGTAAGTATTTATTTCATTATTAAAGCTTTTACAATGAAATTTTAAATAAAGGCTCATTTCTATTCCTATCTTTGAAAATTACTACCATTAATATCAACTTTACTCCATTCTTTAAAAATGTTTTCCCCCATTGCTTATCTTTGCAACCCTGTGGACCATAGCCCGCCAGGCTCCTCTGTCCATGGGATTCTCCAGACAAGAATACTGGAGTAGGTTGCCATGCCCTCCTCCAGGGGATCTTCCTAATGCAGGGATTAAACCCATGTCTCCTGTTTCCTGCATTGGCACAGGGGTTCTTTACCACTAGCGCCACCTTGGAAGCCCTCTGGAAACTTAAATTAGTATAAATGCGTACGTGGTTATCAAGGCTCCTTTAAAATCCTGCTTATGTGGTGATTTGAACCTTTCATTTCCCATGAAGTTCCGCATCATGATTGGCTTCTTGTCTTCTATCACAGTCTACTGATAATTCATCACAAATGTCTTATCTCCTTTATGATACTGTTATTAGCATGGTGGGGTTCAAATCAGTGCCAGCTCATTATTCACAACTTATGCTAAAATTCACTTGTTTGTATAATTTACATCCAATCTTTTTCTTTCTGGGAATGCCCCTATTTCTGAACTTGATTTACCAATTGTGGATTGGACTTGTTTTCCTTTTTCTTATGCTTCTGGATAATTCTTAAAACTCTTTTTTTTTAAAGATCCATGTTGGTTTTCATGAGTTGCCCCATTTTCCTCTCTGACATTACGCTTTTGTAAAAATACTTCTCAACATTTTAATGTTAAGTAGTCATGGTGAGTTATTCCCATTCTACCAGAATAAGTTACCTAGTAAGAAAAAGAGCTGTTTATTGAGTCCTTATATGCCAGGCACAATGCTAAACACATGACATGGATTATCTCATTTAATCCTCTTACACTTTACTGAAGTAATAATTAATATCCATTTTATACAAATTAAGAGACCCCTCCTTAGAGAGGGTAAGTAACTGACCAGGGCTACAACACTGAGGAACTAAGGAATGCTAATGCACCAACAATTTCCTTGTGATCATTCTTTCACGCATGCATTCCTGTATTTTTTTCAAATTCATTCATTTGTTCATCCATCCATTCAAGAAATGTTTGGGGATGTTTTAGGATGGTGTGTGCACCTAATTTTAGGAGTAAAATTAGGAATGGCCTTTATCCCTAGTTTGCAATGTGGTTGAGGATTTAAATGCTAAGAGCAACGAACATGATGGTAACAATCACTATTCGGAATGTGTTTGATGTTTTAAATCCCGTAATTTCTTTCTATGATTCAAAATATATAACTACATAGTTCTTTCAATTCTATTTTCAGGACATTTCTAGTGATATTTTTAACTCCTGAATCTTTAGTTCCAGGAGAAATTTTAGAATGTCTGGCACTTAGAAGGTATATTAGAGACATTTCTTTGTATTTGTTTTTGGAAAAAAGGAAGAGGAAAGGCCACACCTAGTCAAATTAGGAGCAGAGACTGGTTGCTAGCTCAGGGAATAATGATGGTCTTATTCAAATGTTTTGTAGGCCTCATATCTTTCCACTTCAGATATCAAGTTTGGTATACAGAATGAACAGTGAACAAATCCAAATTTGATTGCCCAACCACCATTTTTGCCAGGGACATATTGAATTAGCTTCAAATATTTGATTCCTTGTTTTTTATTACCTCATTGGTAGAGCTCAGGATGTGAAGGTCTATCCACAGTCTGATTTAAATAAACAAAAAGCAACATGATACCATATCCAATCCTTGTATCACCATGGAAAACCTCTGATAAGTCAGAAATGTGGAACTCAGTATGACTGCCAGGTTCCTAAGGAAAGGAAAAATATTGAATATTATCAATAGTTCTATAGTGAGTACACTGATTTGTCAATGCATGCTTGTCTTATCTTCCAGTGAATAATGTTGCAATTGTCTTAACCAGTATGCACATTGTGTTCCTTATAGCTTATATGCAAATATGTATATTTGCCTGTGGCTTGTTACATGGTCATGATCTGACATTTATAACCCCACATCAGTGATAATAAAATAATAGGCAACAAAAATAGGGTGGACTGTTTCTTGGCAGAGTAGAAATTGGGTAAAGATTTTCCATCTGAATATATGCTATTAATATCAAAACTGTATGTAGGCATACACACAGAAATTTGGAATCACAATTTATTTGTATGCTACAACATTGTTAAATGCATTACTTTCAATTGCTTTTTTTTCCCACAAAGAAGAGCTTTACTTCTGAAAACTGGCAGGAACAGCTCAAGTGACCTCTTTGCATTATTAGGTTCAGAGAGTTTCCAGGCAATGCCAATAAGAACTCTCTCTAATTCAATAATTTGATATTTATTCTGTATTTTTCTTACCTTTGCCTAAAATATTCTCATTTTTACTAAGGAAGAAAATGAATTATGAAACCACAAGAACGATAGAACTGAGTCTCACAGAGATGATTCTAAATTAAGAATGATTTTGAGAAGTGAAATACTTGGGATGTCTTTACAGCACAGTCAGTGCACTTACCCCCTGGCCGATAGTCTGGGCTAGATCTGCTGTTTACTGAAGTTCCTTTTTTCACAGTATGGGCTATGAAATGTTACATTATATTCCCCCAATAAAATAACAAATCATATTATAATATAGTCCCTCCACCACCTCAGATCCAATAACAGAAATGAGATGACCTCTTCCTATTTTTATGGGTGTCCTGTTGTTAGAATATTGTGTGCAGTTCTAATAGTAACAATAGCAACTCCTCAAACCTGTCACATAATTTATATCAACTGACTAGTTAATTTTTAGACTACAGCAATTGATTTTAACGACTCTTCTTATCAAGTGGTTCACTGTCATGATATGTCATGATCTGTGTTTATCCCTGAAATACTTTTTGTACTTGTTAATGCTTCCACCCCAATACTAATATACAATTTCAGGTTTTTGAAAGCAGAAATTCTGTCTGTTAAAAACTTGAGCCCAATTAATGATCTAATTATTTAATTAAATCCATTATGGTCCAATTTATTTCTTTGGTTGTCTCCTTAATCAGATAATGTATATGATATAATAGAATCCCAAGAAGACAGCTTCTCTCTACTTTATTGGGCATCTAGTTGGTCTGCTGCTGCTGCTAAGTCGCTTCAGTCGTGTCCAACTCTGTGCGACCCCATAGACGGCAGCCCAGTAGGCTCCGCCGTCCCTGGGATTCTCCAGGCAAGAACACTGGAGTGGGTTGCCATTTCCTTCTCCAATGCATGAAAGTGAAAAGTGAAAGTGAAGTCGCTCAGTCGTGTCCAACTCTTAGCGACCCCATGGACTGCAGCCTACCAGGCTCCTCTGTCCATGGGATTTTCCAAGCAAGAGTACTGGAGTGGTCTAGTGCTGAATTATTTTTCTGGAAGACAAAACATTTAGTAATTTTTCCAAAGCCAACTTTGGAATCACAAGTGTTGGCAGTGGTTCTATCATAGTCACGTTTAGGGAGTGAAGGGACAGTGGGGGGTTCTTGGCACTAACCAGAAAGGGGGATGATCACAGAGGGGCAAGAGGTTGACAGTTGACTCCAGCAGATTGACACGAGGAACAGTCTGATTCAGAGGCCAGTTTTGGAAAATAGACTCTATTTTAATGACATTCTGCCCAGAAGGTCTTAAATTATTTAAAAGTGATTTACAAAAGATTTATGTGGAAAGGCCATTGAACGTATTTTGGAAAGTTATAGCAGTATTATTTTTATTTTCTTCTTTTGGCACACCTGAGTAGGGGGTTAGAAGAGCAAATATAGTTTATTTCCTAATTACTTGAACCCATTAGAAAAGCAGCGACCATACCTGCAAGAGTGCCATATCGCATCTCTAGTCCTGACTTATTTTGAATGCTGAAACAAAGTAGTTACTTAATCTGATGCGATTTAAGAATGTCAAGGATGGAAGGGAAAATTGGTTGTAATTGAAGGATTCCGTGAACTGTGTTGTGCTCTGTTAATGCTTCTCGCACCTTTATTTTGTTCTTTAGGCAAAACCATTAGCTTGCTAGCAATAATGATTCTGGTTGGGGACAGCCTGCATAATTTTGCAGATGGCCTAGTAATAGGAGCAGCCTTCTCCTCTTCGTCTGAGGCGGGAGTGACCACGACTATTGCTATCTTGTGTCATGAAATTCCCCATGAAATGGGTAAGTCTGAGAGTAGAATCACTGCCTCCTTCTTGTTGAGAAAATCATAATATATTTCTTGCCATGATTTACTAGGCTTCTTTTTCCAACACATAATTGAAAGATGAATACTTTCCGTTCATAATTTATTTAAACCATCAAAAGCAGAGAAGTAGGAAGAAAATTCCTGTACCTCAAGATAGAATTCAATTAGGCTCCTTTATATTTCTTGGAGCCAGAAGTGACTCTTTTTGGATTCTGGAGAATTCTCTACAGCAGAGCGACTTTCAGAGAAACCTCCTTTTGAAGAACATCAGTAAAAACTTCCAAATTTGCATATGAAAAGTGGGGAAAACATTAAGAGGGGAATTGGATCCATCCATTATATTAGCAAACAGGCCAATGAGATAAAATAACATTTAAATTAAAGCCAAACCATGGTTTCATCAACCTGATTTATACAAAATGTCTAAAGCCAAGCGTGACATTGAAATGACAGGCATGTGGTAGCAGATGCACAAAACACTCTCTTTCTGGATAATCTTAATAACCCATGTAATTCAAATCCTGCCTCCAAGAAACCAAGAAGAGATGGAGTAGACATTTCTGAAACAGGTCCAGAAAGAGGAGAGGCTGGTCCCAGATACACGTGTGCCCTTGAGAGAAAGCCCTTCTTGGTAGTCCCTTTCTCATCTCACTTTCATGTTTATATTGCCCACTTGGGCCACCCCTGACCTCTTGGGTTCTGTGTCTGTTGACCAAAGTCCTATCACTGATCATCACTGACTATTCCTCTCTAAGGAGTTTATCCAAGGTCCTTCCTGAATCCATCAAAACTTATGGTCTGGGAGCCATGTATGGTCTTGTTTTGACTACTGTGATAAAAACCACAGTTTTTTATCTGTGGGTGACAGTCTGTGATAGGCCAACAAAGATGTCTTAAGATCTGTTCATTAGATTAATTATGCAATAGAACTAGGAAAACTGAGGCCCTGGGCTGCCTCTTATTTTTTTAATTATTGAAGCACAGCTGATTTATAATATTGTGTTCATTTCTGCTGTGCAGCACAGTGACTCAGTTATACACATATATGCATTCTTTTCAAAATTCTTTTTCATTATGTGTCTTTATTGAATTTCATCCTCTTCTTAATTCCCCAAAACTAAGAAATAGAGCCTCTCAGATTAAAAGATCATCCTTCTTTTGGAGGAAAAGTGTGGAGAGAATAAGGTCGTTTTTCTCTAGTCACTGAGGCAGTAAAACATTTTCTAAAGGAAAAATGTGTTTTCCAAACAAATTTTTGCATTAATTTAAAAATCTCCTATTAAGTCATCATTTTCTCTTTCCCCACAGAAGTTCCTGCATAAGTTAAAAAAAGAGAGAGAAAGAAAAACCCATATAATGTTTACTACCTTGGGATTTTGCCTGGCAAGTTTCCAACTAAAAAGATTTAGAAATCCCAGGGCAGCAAGTCCTTTATTTTGCATTTGTCTAAGTTGAAAACGTCATAGAACATTAGGAAGTAAAGAGTATGTCACACTTCTCTCTGTATATACTACCTCCTGGAAGAGTAAAAGGAATAGAACTTTTGAAATGTAGCTTCCTAAAATATAAAGAGTTGGGCTATAAATTCTTGAGAAATATAGGAAAGTGTTTTTTTAACCAGTCATTCAATTTTACTGATAAAATCAACCCCAATTGCTGGAATTTAAAACAGATTTCATAATAGCACAGGTCTCAAACAAAGGCATCATTGGTTAAATGATAATTCTGTTTTCTTTTCTCTTACATTTCAGGAGACTTTGCTGTGCTCCTAAGCTCTGGACTTCCTGTTAAGATTGCCATCCTGATGAATTTTATAAGTGCTTTAACTGCCTTCATAGGACTGTATATTGGCCTCTCAGTATCAACGGATCCATGTATTCAAAACTGGATCTTAACAGTTACTGCCGGGATGTTTTTATATTTATCCTTGGTGGAAATGGTAAGCTTTGTGGTTTTTCTGTTTTGTTTTTCCAAACACTAAAAATGTAAAACAGAGAAAAAGACAAAATGGAAGGATCAAGGGTGAAAAGAGAAGACAATAGATAACAACATAGAAGACTAAAGAAGTATTGTGTAATCCAAAAAGAAGTAAACAGGCAGAAGAAATATAATTTGAGATTCAGAAAATACTGACATTCTTTAAGTCAATTTAAGTGGAATGAATGAAACCTTTCTAATTCTCCAAAAGGCATCATCAGTTCATTCTGCTCCAGCTTTGCATCTGTAGAAGATGCCTAAACTTCCAACTGAAGAACAAAAAGTTTTTTTAAATAGCCAGCCATTTTGTTTATACATTAGCAAATACTGGGTTGGCCAAAATGTTTGTTTGGGTTTTCCTGTACCGACATCCTGGCCAACCCAACATTTCAGTTGACTTTGTCATTAAGTTAAAGAACTGTTTGGCTTAATGAAACAACCCTATTTTTAAAAAAGTGATTTAAGTTTTAATTGCCAAAGCACTATCATGCTGGTGAAATGAGAAAGATTATCATGTATTGTGTTTCTAAATTTGCAATACATTTTTCCTGAAGAAGTTCTTGCTGACACCAGTGGTTAATCCAATCATCATTTTTCATTCTCTGCAATCTTTTTTTTTATTAATAAATGAAGCCTATTTTATTACTTCATGTGTTAATGATAAAAAAAAATTTCAGCACAGCTGTTGCATTTAAAAAAGTGAAACTACATACTATGTTTCTAGCTCGGTAAACAGATGAACCTGATGTCGTTGAATGACATAACAATTGAGCATTGTACAGTACATCTTATGAAGACCCGTAAATTAAAGAACTACTGGTTTAAAGTTAGTGATTATGAAACAAATATGTATTCATAGTTTCAGCTTCTTTTTTCTTCCTCGGCCATCAGGTGCTCCATCCATTTTACGCTTCTGTGTTGAAGGTTTTGGTCCTCTTTTCTTGGAATTGAACCTGGGAAATTTCACATTTTTGCCTCTTAAATTCTAATCTCTGCAAGATAAACCTGTTTTTTAAGGTCACCTTCTATTAGACTTGCTTACAACTTACATGTCTTAAGATGAAAGTCATAATGATTATCCTGTCTCATGGGTGGGAATAAGGCAAGTAAAAATGGCATAAACTAACAAAAGAAATATTTAAGGCTTAAAATCAATAGAAAGCCAATCTGATCAGAAATAAAATATGTGATTACATATATCCTGGAGCTGAAAAGTAAACAATCTTGAAGGTCATATTTGGAATAGGACCATTGGGGTTGACTAGTGAATCCAACAATTGTCCCGGAAGTAAGTAAAGAGAATGTTTCATAAAGAAAAAAATTTGGAAGCCAGAAACTGGACTGATATTTCCAGAACAGTGCATTCTATAGGCAGAATTCAAGAAGGGGACTCATCAAGGTAAACTATCATCTTCAACCCCACTGTAGGGACTTCCCTGGTGGTCCAGTGGTAGGACTCCATGCTTCCCTGCAGGGGGGGTTGGGTTTGACCTCTGGTTGGGGAACTAAGATCTTGCATTCTGCATGCAGCATGGCATGGCCAAAATAAATGTGGACTTAAAAAATATTCACAACCTGAAAGCTGAGAGTTAAGTTTTTTATCAGTGGGAATTTTTAGGACCAAGCCTGGAAGACAGCATCTCAAGTAAGCCTAAGAGCTGCTCCAAGGAGGTGAAGGGAGGGGTCAGCTTATAGAGAAGTTTTGCAACAAAGGGCAGGTAGTGTGAACGTCCAAAGATTTTTGTAAATTGAAACCAGATATCTCAAGTTAAGGGTATGGAAGTATTCCTCCTTTCATAAAGGAAGGTATTCCTCCTTTCAAAAAGAACTCAGCATTTTTCTGTGCTTGGGAAGATGAAAGAATCTGGCTCAATGAAATCATTCCTTTGATATGCACCTCAGCTATCTGGAGCCAGTATCCTGTGTTTTCACACCCTGAGTTTCCTCGGGGCTCACTGTAGGGAGTGGCTGCAGTCTGATGGCTGCTAGATGCAGATATTCTTTCCTTCCTGAGTTCCCTCAGTGCTCGCTGGAGTGCGGCAATCTCTGATGAAGGTGTGACATACTTTGTTTACTAATATGGCAGGAAACATGCCATTTCTCACAAACAAACAAACCACTTAAATGCTTCTGACTCTTTGATATTTTTTCTTAATTTTTATGAGATTCAAAAAAGCAAGTTAAACACCGAAATGTACTTCCATGTTTGGGAATGTTCTTACATATTATCTGTGATACTCAGGAAATTTCCTACTTATATAGTGAAGATAGTCAAAAGTACTATAGCAGATTCTATCCATCTTTTCTGAACCCCAATCCCCAACCTGCAATCCATGTTATCAAATTGTACAATTCTCCAAGTTGAGAAGTCTGGGTGTCTAGCCTTGTGTGACTTAGAAAACACATGGCCACTAATCACTGAATGTTGTGAGCTGCTTTCTGTTTAAAATGTCTGCAGATCCATCTTTAAGCTCATTCTTAAGCTCATTTTCCGCTTTGTATGTCTAATTCCTTTCCTCCTTTTGAGTTCATCAAGGGACAATTTCTATGTTGCTTGAAGTTGATTTTGTATCTTAATATAGTCTGGATCTCTCTTCAAGTATGATGGATGTGTATGTATGAAGTCGATCTTTTCTCTTTGTCTCCCAAAATTGACCTGAGGAGATTATCAGGAACTATTTGAGCCCCAAGCTAAATACATCCTTTTCCCCTCAAAGTTTCTCCTCCCAGTCTTGTAAGGATAAAGAATTGCTTGTAAGAAAACAGTGTGGTTGACATCCTATGAAATTCTAACTAGAAGAAATCCTGACCTTATTGCAAATTAATATTGGCCAAAGAAAAACTAGCATCCTGGCAAAAAGACAGGAAAGAAAATACTCTTGAGTTTCCTGGGGCTACTTCCTATAATCCAGGTCGCCTGCTCTCACGGCCTTTTGAGTAACTTCTAAACAAATACAGCCCTTTCACATAGCGGCAAGTTTAACCGTTGTTGTACTCTGGGGCTGTGCCAAAGAAAATACTCTTGTCATTTCAAGGGAAGAAAACAAGGTTTCAAGACTGTACAACAGCAAAGAAAATAAATGACAGTAACTAAAGGGTAAGGAGGAATACTTTCATACCCTGGCTATTTACCAAAGCTTGGAAATGTACCAGGCACCTTCTGAGCAGGGTTAATGTGAAAAGATTAGCTATATTTTTGCCTTGCTTATTTGTTTCAAAGGAATCAGCTGTGTTATTTCAAACTCCTAAAAAGAAAAGAACTCAAAGAATTGAACCATTTGTTGGCAGTGATGCCAACAAAGCAGAAAGTCTTCACCAGGGCAGTCAGCCAGCCTAAAATTCTCCAAAGTGGTGTTGCCTTATCCAAGCACACCAACTTCCAGTTACACTGAATGGTTTCTAAAGGAAATTAAGAATGAATGCAGCTCTGGGTGGCCAGAGGAAATTCATTCTCTGTTAGAAAGATCCATGTGAGTTTCCCCAAGCAGAGTCTAAGACAAAGGCCTCTGTGAAGTCAATTCACTTGGGAGGTGATCTCAGGAAGCGGGAGGGAAGGACAGGTGGAGTGAAACAGAGGAGGATAAAAAGTCACTAAGACAATGGGTTTTTATTAAGTTCAACACTGCCACATGACATCCTCCATACAAGACCTTCTGAGGGTGCTTCTGTCCCTGTCATGCATCTGCCCCATAAGTAACCAACCCCCCACCCACACTTCAAGTCATGGATGCCTGAGTGCCACAGGCCGTCACTGGCAGTTCCATGCCATCACATGAATGGCAACACAGGAAGAATGTAGCATGGACCTGAAGCAAGGCTCGGTGCAGGATCGTTAATGCCCTCTTGGAACTGGTCTCTGCAGCAGTAGCTGGGGTGAGAGATGGGCTGAAAGAATATAAAATAGCACACATGTACTGGCCATTAACAGTTGACCCTATCTGCCCCTCAAGTATGTTTTGGTCTCCTTTACTTTAAAATTCCATCTACACCAAAGCCCCTGCATGGTGGTAGCCAGTCAAAAACTCCACGAAGAGTTAACCCAAGATAGTCAGTGGAAACCATCTCTAAACCCTACTGGTCTTGAGGAAGTTGTTGGTTTTTTTTTTTTACTTTTTTTTCTTTTTAAAATATTATTTCATTTATTTGTTTTATTTTTAGGCTATGTTACATGGCATGTGGGGGCTTCCTTATTGGCTCAGTGGTGAGGTAAAGAATCTGCCTTCAAATGCAGGAGTCAAGGGTTCTATCCCTGGGTTACGAAGATCCCCTGGAGAAGAAAATGGCAACCCACTCCAGTATTCTTGCCTAGGAAATCCCATGGATAGAGGAACCTGTTGGGCTACAGCCCATGGGATCCCAAAGAGTCAAACATGATTTAGCAACTAAACAACAACATGCTACATGTGCGATCCTATCTCCCTAATCAGGGATTGAACCCACATACCCTGCATTGAAAGCATGGAGTCTTACCCACTGGACCACCAGGGAAGTCCTGAGACAATATTTGATGTTCATGATCTCTGTCCTTCCAGCACCCTATCTTGATTCTCCCCGCCTTCAGGCACCTCTTCAGCTGATTAGGATTTCTTTCCTGGTAGGGACACCCAGTTCTTCCCTATAGGGATCTGCTTTGTTTCTGTCAGGCCATATTTCCTGTGGTTGCCTGTTCACCATTGTCACCAGGTATGGAAGCACAAAGAGAGGCTCCAAGAAATTCTCAGGTCTCTAGATACAGTCCTTGCTGCCTCCATTGTGTAGCAGTTACCCTGACTCCACGTGGTAACCATTGACAATTGCTCCCACCAGCACAGTAACTTTTTCTCTGTTAGTTGATCGATTGGCATGAGGTGCTCAAGTGACCACATGGTAGTCATAACTTCAAGTTCAGTGGAAGTGTTCCATGGTGCATTTTCCTCAAGAATAACAATCTCTATTATCTGATGGTGCTAGAGTTTTCAGGAA